TTATATTGAATATTATTGATTTCAATATGTTTTGGATACATGGTTTCAATCAACATTTGAACTTGTTTGTTAATATCTTTGATCTCGAACATTTTAGTCTAACGCTATTTGACACGGTATTTCGAAATTTTTGCTCCGGAAAGTTAAAAATTGAAGATATTTCGTGTAATTGCTATGATAGTTATTAACACAATATATTCAAGTTGATTACTTGTAATTTACGGATAGACTTTGCTATCTGAACTGGAATTCGCCTTTTTGTTATTTGGGTCGCAATTTACCAACGTGTCAATCAATCGTGTCTCAATAACAGGCGAGAGCAGTATTATAACTTGACAGTCATACGAAATCCGATCTACATCAGTTTTGACCCAACAGTTGGTTTCTGTCTTGTCAGTGTTTGGTTAACACAGGTATCGCTGATAATCTCTAAAGTTTGTATAAATAGTGATTGATAAACAAACACACCAGTGATAATATGAAACACCAACCACTGCATTAACCGTCTTCGACCCTGTATGCCTTGTTTATTCACCAATCACAATTTTATGTTCATTATAAAACATTATTCGCTTTGTTGATCCATTTTCCCTATCCTGTAGTTGCTGTTCGGGATGCTTTTTGTGTCTCAAATTTTCCCTGTTTAATAGACTGCATTGTATATTTGTATAATGTGTTAATTTACATTTTAGAAACAGATAAAGTCTATCAAGCTAAACAGCTCACTTTTCCTGACTTTTGCTAAACTAAGATTCTGGGTTCGACAACCTAGAGAATATCTTAGAATCACACCTGTAGAAAAGTACTTCCGCAGTTTGGGCGTAGTCGATCCCTTTGGTTGAGTAATTGTACTCCCATAGTAGTTGTGTCCGTTGAGCTGAAGGATGCCGCTATACACAGTGCAAAGTAAAAGAAACTATCATAATGGCTATGAGGCTTGGTCTTAATTGACCGATGTCCGTATTTTAATTTATTGTAGCTTGATATTTTTGTCAGCATAGGTATGAGCATAGCAACACAAGTCTATGTTGTTGTATAGGTTGAGAAACCGTTTATCTGAAAAGTCACTCCAACAACCTACCACACAGGTTAATGCGTTACCCGGTAATCTTATTATTGCTTATTATTCATTAGTGCTCTCCAGATATTTCTTACTTTATATGACAGTATTCTCGTACATTGTGATGTTACGGCTCGCAATCATGATAAGTGATGTTTGAAGATTCCTAATTAAAACACTTTGAAGTGAGAGATAATCGTTGAAGGTATCATTAATAAGATTTGATTTGATAATTTCGAATAAATTGAGCATTAGGTTGATTGTTATAAATGAATAATATATTTGTAATATCCAAATGAGTAGAAAATTAGATTTTCCGACGTTTCTTGACTTAGGGTAAGTCACTTCTTCAGAGAAATCTTCAACAGAAAATCTAATTTTCTACTCATTGGGATATTACAAATATATTTATTGATAATCGTTGAAGTCTGTTTACACATGCATGCGTTGGCCTGGTCAAAATCTAGGATAAAGTACTTTGATGGAGTAGTTTTAAACAAAAATTGTGGCGACCATTCGCTCCCCTGTTGCCTGCACGGACTGTACTTGTTCATTTTTGGCTGTAATTTGAGGCACTCTTCCAGAATTGAAAATACTTCATGTTATGATGAAATTAAATATAATCTTTTAAACATTCTGTACGTAGTCTATCCAGAAAGAATGGAATGCCATTTATTTGTTGCATTTTTTTACTAATGAATAAACAATTATTGGTTGAAGAGTCAGGTGGTAATATTTGTTTAGGTAATACCGTATATTTATAGTTATAATTAGATCGAGAACCCCAATTTGACCAATTCCTTTGTTTTAGTTTCATCTGGGTGACAGCGCGCATTCAAACCAACCTGAACACTTCATCATTCCAAACAGCGTTCAAAAGCTACAGAAGGAATGAATTGTAATGGGTCGCAAAAGTGTCTGCTTGAAGAAATCTTCACACAGCCATATAAAGTTTCCAAAAAATCTTACACTTTTAGTAAATTCATGTGAAGAAAAAAGCCATGTTCTTTATTACTGCATTCTCTTATGTGGAGGCTCTAATCACATTTTGCTCTAACAACAGGAACGAGTATGAGTTTAATTTACTTGTTTATCATACCTATGTCCGTTCCACTAAAAAATGTCAAGCATTGGTTAGCGCTCATATCCAAGTGTCTTGCTCTTCCTTTGTTTTCTTCAGCATTACGCTCTCAGGGTACAGCTGTGGAGCTTTTGACTCCTGGAGCATACTTGACGTACCCATTTTTCATGGTCGCACTTCATGTTAAGCGCCCTATAAGTTTACTTCAAAGCAACTATAAATTCAAAAACTTATGTAGCATTAATGCTTAGCACGACTAGGATCTCAACACAATTACGCCTAGTTTGAACCTGACGTACAATGTGGACACGATGCCACTTTGGAAAATATATCGAAAACTGCACGCAGTGCTATAGTAAAATATAAACCTAACCATTAACTCTCTGGGACATCTGCACGATGTACTGTCTTTTATTTTTATTGATTACATTTATTCAACAACCCAACTTAGGAAACATGTTGTAAACAAACCTGTGTTGTAAGTTATAGATCATGCTTGTGAAAATGGTGTTTACCTGCCCTAGCAGAAATGTAACATATATGTATATATAAGATGGATATATAGTATAACACTTTTACTAAATTGTCCAAAATTGTTACATCGGTGGTATCCTAATGACATACGCATTAGCCCTTTTGACCTAAGTTTAAATTTTCTGCAACTAATGTGAAGACAGAAACTGCTTCCCTTTTAGCCTAAAAAATAATACGGTTAATAATATTGTACCATAATTTTCCTGGTACGTCCTGACTGGTCTTATTGTTAAATTTCACAAACTGGGTTGCCAAATAAACAAGGGGCATTGACCTGTAAATTTTCATGCTTTTATTAAGGGATCATCTCAACGAGTGCATATCATATAAAAATCCATTAAACCATCTTAAAATAACACGAAACCCGGCTAACAAAATCTCTTTGCATCTTTTTCTGCTCATACGAAAGCTCCGTACACACTGTGCAGTCCATTTAAACGTGCAAAATACTGAACAAGAATTTTGTCCACTTATAGTCTTGAAATAAAAAAAACTATGGTGCTTGGTAGAGATGTGTCAAATCCAAATCACTGTTTATCATTTCGGAATACAATATCTGTCTCGGTGTGTCAATGTCAGATTGATGAATTCATGATCATTGGTGTTCAGCTATATTATGCACAAAAATATTCATTATTCTTCATTAGAATAGCGTACTTGATCACTAAATGAATAAAAAATATTCGATACCGAATTTCCACATAATTAAAAATACGTTTGTTATTACTCAGGAAGTTGATCATAGTGTGCGCTGAATAGAATTTAAACTACAAGGTAGAAAAATGCCTGTCGAAATTCCTTCGAGGTTTCTTAAGGGATGGAAAACATAATATCATGCACTCTGTACTATCCGATTGGCTTCTGATGACATATGGGATGCGTAAATTTCAATTCTTAGACTTTTACTTTCCTTATTGTTTGCTGACCGCCTATCTGATACCTTCTCCTCTCAAATTCTCTTATACGCAGATGACTTTGGGTTTAGGACGAAGACCTTTAGTCTTCTTGGTGTTTCGGCTCCTCAATAGGAGTAAGTAAAATAAACAACCAGACTAAAAGTAATCTATCCCTTGTCAATATCAGGATATCCAGAATGCCAACAGTGAATCCATACTTTCGGAATGATTTTAGTTTGCACCTAGCACCAAAGAAAAGAACATAGGCATTGGCTCGTGTGATACTGTGTGTGTCAATTCCCGTAAGTGTACTGCCCCAAACGTAACCCAAACAGTTTTGGAGCTTATTCCTAAAACATTAGATACTCTTACGGTATAATATGTAACACCATTCAGATGTGCAAAACCTGGCGCCAGAAGGTTAAAAAGATCTGTTTGAAGGGAACAGAATGGGAAATAAAAATGAATTATGAACTGGGAGAATCTGAAGAGGCCACAAGTATTCCAAATTCAACGTCTTTATACATAACGCTTTTGCAATAGCAGCATCCTAACTAAGTTAAATCAGAAATCAGAAATGAGAGAGTTCGAAGATATATTTGGGAGGCTATCGGTAAATTGAAGTAAAGTTTGAGCTGAACTGGTTAGTAATTGAAAGAAACGCATAGCGCGACATGTCCATTCATGATCTGGTACGAATGCATGGCTGAGCACCTTCAGCTAAGTGGGTCATCAAAACCATTGCGGTCAGCATCAAATGTCGAAGGCTCACAGAAGTATTGATTTCGAGAACGTTTTGCCGTTTGAGACCATACAGGATATGAATAAAAATTGATTAAAACTCGCAAATGAAATATTTCTTGTATGGTTATCATATTTTATGAAGACACTGTGCAATTTTGCATTAATCCATAAATTGGTTATCCCACCCAAGTCTTCGTTCACAACACACTGACCCCAGGAATATTTACTATTATTTTCAGTGCTTACTTAAAACTCTATCAGGAACAATTTCTTTTCATATTTGACAGTCACAGCCTTCTTGTAGAATGCTTCGTTTTGTAGTTTATTACTTCCAGTATCATAGGTGCCTCATTTCGTTTGTTGTGATTATTAACTAATTGCCCTCAGTTTCAAAAGAAATGCAACAGGACTTGCGCCTTCCAATTATCAAGAATTAAATCTTATTGCTGACGCGGAAAATCCACAGAATGAACATTTCTTCAAATGCAGGTTGTTGTTATTTTGATTCAATGAAACTATTGGTATCTGATATCTGGATTGACCCAAGTGGATGCTGTTAGAGATTCGGAACTGTTTCTCAACATTAAGAATCCTGTGAAAAGATATTTTACTCATAATTGCCGTCAACCAAGATTTTAAAATTTTCCTTGTTAGAGTAACTTATCTGTTGTTGTATATGAAGGTCAGTTGACTGATGTAAGCTGTGCGCCCTTCAACAACCTCATTCATGGACTTTGTTGTGATTCACGGGTTCATCCTGCATTTAGTACGGAACGAACAGAAGTACTGCATCTCAAAAAGATGGGCATATATTAAGCACGATAGTCTTTTTATCTTTCCGAGTAAATCCAGAAGGTTCTTTTATATTTGTAGATCATTTAAACCGTAAGAACTGCCTTAAAATTTTTCTCAATCATTGTGGTGTTTCTGTATCATATCAAGAAGATGATACGCCCTGGATAACAGTAAGGTGGTGTTTTCCATGAATTGTTTCAGATCACAGAAAACTCTGGAGCTACATATTATCTTAGACCAGAAGCAGAGAAAACTTTTCAAAGCTGGCTTACTGCTATTTACAAAACGTCTAAAAAGTATTCTTCTTTTTCTCAACATCTTACCAATTGTGAAATTTAAGTTGCAAATCACAGGCAGTAGGGCTTACTATGGAGTGCCGACCACATTTCACAGATCAACACTTGTCCAACTCACCAGAACAGAAAATCCTGGCTTCGAAAGTTAGTTTATTATTATCCTAAAGATGAATGTACTAAAGATTATATCACTTTTTGGTTTGGATAGTTTATTTCATTCAATAGAACTATAGTACTCCTTGAAGCTTAAATTCGCTCAGTAATGTGCAATATGTCGTCCAAGCTGCTATGTGAATAAATGTTAAGTAGTGATTCCAAAAAGACTCACTTTTTGATTAACCATTATTTGGAAGATTTTGGCAAAAGTCATTAGTTCGTAGGATAGCTGTTGTAAATTTCAGGCAGAATGTTATGACGAAATATTGCACATAATGATGAGATTGTCTGATCTTATTACTTTTTTTATATCTATACAAAAATTCTAATTAACAGTACAATATAACATATTCATTGAAAAGCCTATTCAATATAATACAACTCAACCGTCGATTGGTTTCTGAATAAAATAAACAATTTTAAGTAAACGAACTTCCTATTCAACTGATTAACCAGGTATTTGAGTATAAACCATACTGTGAGTGTGGGGGCTAATGTTACCCGGTTGTCCAAACTGAAGCACACGACTGATGCACTTGAAATTCACACGCTGAGTTAGACATTGTATTCCATTTTATTCATTTAACCTGTTTGCGTTGAATACCATACTTTGCTCGAAATTGATATATGATGACAAGGTATACCAACTGGCGTGGTCTTTCGTGGTTAGTTTTGAGTAATTCTCAGATTAGTATACTGCATCTGTGATATTCAGTTCCAAATTATTTTGAAACCAGTAATTTTGATCACGAAGGCCGATTTTTGCCTCCATTATATATGGTCTGAGTTCTTAATTGTTTTTCACTACCTTCATAAGATTCATAAAATTATTGACCAATCGTATAAATGTCCATACATGTGAAAATTCATAATTTTTGATAAATGATTCACACGTATGAGGAAATCCGTCCCGTTGATTAGCGCACTATTGCTATAATGTAATATTTACTGTCTTACAATTACTCATACTAATAAAGTTACCTTACGTACTTACACCTGTTACTTCTCGTGGAGCAGCATAGGCCGCCCAACAGCATTCTCCATCGAACTCTGTCCTGGACAATCCTTTACAGTTGCCATTCATTCTTTTCGTTTCTGCTTTCAATTATCAACGTAGTGTGTTCCTCTTTTCCGTCTCCCTTCATGATTCTAAGTTGGGGCTTGCATCGTGATGCAGTTTGGTGATTTCTGTAACGTCTGCCCCATCCACTTCTAACGTCTTTTCCTAACTTCCTCTTCAGACGTAATCTAGTTTGTTTTCTCCCACAGTAGGCTCTTACTTATGGTATCCGAACAACAGACATTGAGTATCTTGTGTAGACAATTGTTCGTAAATAACTTTACTTTTCCGATGATCGTTGTGGTAGTTCTCCAAGTTTCAGCTCCGTACAGTAGAACTACCTTGACGTTCATATTGGAGATTTTGACTTTGATATTGGTTGATAGTTGTTTTGAGTTCCATATATTCTTCAACTGTAGGAATGCTGTCATTGCTTTGCCAATCCTCTCCTTACTTCTGCATCAGATCCTCCTTGTTCATCGATGATGCTTCTCAGGTATGTGAAGGATTCCACATCTTCTCGAGTTCCTCTATCAAGTGTGACTGAACAGATGTTCTCTGTGTTGTATTTGAAGATGTTGCTTTTTTCCTTGTGTATGTTCAGGTCTACTGATGCATAAGCTTCTGCTACACTGGTTGCCTTGACCTGCATTTTTTAGCGTGTGTAAGATAGAAAAATTAGGTAATCTGTGAAGTCCAAATCGTCTAGCTGAATCCAAGCTGTCCAAATGAAATCACGTATTAGGAAGTAGAAGACTTGTGATGTGAGTTAGGTTTTGAATAAAAGGCTTCGTGTGAAAGCATAATATAGTTAAAAGTCGTTCACTGGTGTTTTTGTCTGAATATATATTTTATTGGGCACAGATAACAACTCACATTAATGTTGTTCGCCTTTTGATTTATAATGTTTTCGTAATTTGTGAAAGTTAACTTCGACACAACATATCACCAATCTACTCGGACTATCATCTAAATTCGAACTGTACGGAAAATGCCATCCTTTAATCTGAAATGGTGTAAAAATCATGACAATTAGGTTAATCATGAACAAACAGCTATGAAATTTTTTTAACAAAGTTGGTCTAGTCAACTAGCGCTACTTGTCTGGATCAATAGGATTCAATCTTTAATGTGTACCATTGATGTATTTTATTCTACAGACTATGTATTTCATTATGCTAATCTCATGAAAATACATTAAACACGTCATTTGTACTGATGTGAATGTTAGAGCGTTAAAATGATTATAATACAATATACAATATACGCACAGTATTAGCTGGTCCTCATTTAAAATGAATAGCTTGTAGATAAATAGACTAAACTGTACTTATATATGTATATCAGTAATTGAAGTAAATATGAATAAATAATTAACTATGAACTTATTCAATTCAGAATCATATATAAATTCTGATTTACACTGATGGATATTATTTACTATTTTTGTTTAAAAACAGAGAATAAATGAAAAAAGAAGTCTGGATCATTTAGGTAGGTTATTGTCGTTTTTTTATCAGTAAGATAATCTTGAGATGATTGATGAATTGTTATAAGGCTCAATTTTGGTCACTTCAGGCTATCTTATTAAGTACTTATTTCAATTGTGCTTGTGAACCATGTTATATAATCTGCATAAATCATCTACTTTTGAAATACATATCTAAGCATTATCCTGTATGGATGGATGTAAGTCAGTCAAGAATTCTGGCACTTGCCAGTGGTTTAATTTTGATTGTATGAATTACTTAGATCAGTCAGTGATGTTGATCACTCCAAATAAATAACAACCATAACACTCAATAAAATATTGAGTATATTGTCTTTTTTTTTAATTTAGGCCCTGAATATTCCAACATTTATCAATCTGATAACAATGAACTCAATGCTCAACCATCACTGAATTCAGCAGTTCAACCTATCAACAGTAATTATTTGAATAGAGATTTAGAAATGATTCATTCAAGGCAGAAAAATATTAAAAATGTTAGTGAAAATACATTGAGAAGTAAAAATGTACAAGTTGAATATAAACCAAGTGAAGATAAACCACCACCTAGACCACCAAGAAATCCACATGTATTACACACTGTTAAAGAACATGCAAATATGCGTGATGATGAGATTGTTGTAAGTCATCGCTTGTGTAAATTTATAGATATTGCTTTAATTTTTTTGAAATTAGAAGTGATTAACCACCAGTCTTTCATGACAGTAAAGACATTTATGTTTTCAATTAGCAGGTTATAAGTTCAAATCCCACTTTATTCTTTTTAAGTTTGAACAATCATTTAGTATTAAATTAGCCCTCAAACGAGAGTAAACTATGGTTCAAAGTTGAGTACATACATATATCCTTGGCAAACGAATTACATTCATTTTTGTGGATAGTATCTATTAAAAATTGATCACATTTGAGTTATCGCTGAAAACCAGAAGACACTAGACATCTGTTTCTTTCTAGTATGAGACCCTTCAGCAATGCATACTCACGACCCTACCAGGGATCTAGTGATGAAGCATTCGTCGTGAGACATGAATATTTACGTGCCAAATATTTTGGGGTATTTTACCTAGTGTGTGAGTCCTGGATATATATGAGCTCAATTTTTACCGAGGATTTCGTTGCAAGCCCCAGCTTAAACCTTTCTTTTTTGTCTGACATATTGGGATGTATTAAAGTAACATATTCATAGAAGACAGATGTGGATAACTTCAGATGCTTGAATAAATTTATTTTGATGAACTTGTTCGCTAACGGTTTTTTAGTGGCCTTGTTTCTTTTTTATGTTTTTGTATATCCGTCAACTGTTTTGTCAGGTTAGCTTCTAATCATACGATCGACTGACTGAAAGTAAGCAGATTATGTTGATTTTGATATCTATTGATTGCAAGTTAAATAGAATATCGCGCTTCAGAGACTCTCTAACATTCATAGAGCTTTGCAAATTTCCAAGTCAACTATGTGTTTACAATTGTTGATAAAACTTTAAAATTCTGGCTCTCGTGTTTTCTGTTCTCAAGATCCAGTTATACGTTTGAGGATTGTTTAACATAAAACCTTGAAAACTTCGTTAGCTAAACTAGTCCCTCTGAGATTATAACCTATTAATTCTCTTCTTCTTCTTCTTCTTCTTCTTCTTCTTCTTCTATAATCTGATATGATTAAGTATCGATGTTGATCTGTGAAATTTCTCTCTAATTGTCATACTCCATAATTATTACCTACTAACTTAAAAGTTTTCTTAAGTTTAACCATCAAATCATGTATAGGTTTGTTGCATTTTAAATTTGTCGAAGCTTCTTTATATATTATTGAGAGTTTGAGTAATGGGTTGTATACCAGTGGCTTATTCTTTTTAATAATAAGACAGTAGACAACTGGAGGATATTCAATACTTTATAAAAAATATGTGTTGAAACAGGGTGATAGACAACAGAGATTCCTTAACATTTTAAAGTTCAAAGATAACCAAGAACAGCATGGCACTTCAAGATGTATGTTCATGATTATTCCTATTCCTATCCATTTCATTTTCGTTCAACCATCAGTGATTAGTTTAATTTGTGGATTGTATTTATTACAGATCGATCTCAATAAGTATGCACTTTCGAAGAGTTCCATACTTGAAAGAGCCATATGGTTCTCAGTGGTGCTCCAATCGAATTGAGTATACAATGAATACAACATACAAAATGAAAATAATTTTCATAAAACCCTTCAACTGAACTATAATATTCAGCTCATTTATGACTTCAAGATGTTCTTTAAGTTCTAATAAGAAGTCATATTTAGTGCAATTCAAACATGTTGATAGTGAAACACTTGTTACCAATCACATTAGATTATTGTTGCTCAATATCACAAATTGTTTGAAATTGAAGTTGTATCACTAGATGCCAACCTTGTTCATCAGGTGGCCTAGTTCGGACCTCTGATAAGATAATGGCTATATATTGCCAAGATATCCCTTACTAAGATAAAAATAACCATGTGGTGGTCCCATAGTTCTCAATGATACTCCGAATAAGATCAATCTATGATGAATACAATTTCTCATATTATCTATGATATATTTTCTTAAATTAAGATTAAGAATGTATTTCATAAATTTCTAACAAATCTGATTATATATTCGTCTAAACAACTCTATCTCTTATGACTGCTACTCACTAAATAATATTGTACTACTGTATAGAGGTACTATATGGGTTTATTGATTAATTTATAAACATATTCATTTGTTCATGCAATTATATATGTCTATATTTCTATCAAATGAAATAACATTTGTTAGTTTCTACCCTGTTTTGTTACTCTTTAAATAAATTATCACTAGTCACAATTGTTGATTTATACACGTGATGAGTAAACTTAAGGTCAAACTGTGTGTAGTACCAGGAAGTGAAGGGTTTGTTGTTGTTGTTGTTGTTGTTGTTGTTATTTCATTGAATCGATAATTTGATGGTTTCCATTCTCTTTCGAATTATACTTTCATCTAAGTAAATGAATATTCTAGCACTAAACTATAAAGTGTACTATAAAAAATGTTTGTTTTTTTCACATAGTTGGAGTTAATGTTTGTTTATTTATGTACACGTTTATATCCATAAATTCATTCAATTAGTCAGTCAGTCGGTTACAACGTAGGACCAGGTACATATGTACATCGGTCGAAGTTGGCATACATCATTAACACAGCAAGATGAGCACTAAGTTCATGGAAGTAGTCACTTCAATGGTAGTAATATGTAAAAGAAAGATTGTGTATAAGGATGTAGTACAGGAAGAAAGGATTAGTTGGTAGAAAGAAAGGTATAAAGCAATTTTAATCTCACAGTTTTAAGGAAGACAGAGAGTGCATACACCGACGCCATTGTGATCGATTCTGAACCATGTCACCTAGAGTCTCCAACCACTGGTTACGATGGTCACGCGGACTCCAACTAAGTAGTCTGCATCTAACAACATGTCTAAGACTAGAAGTTAGTGACTTCAAGCACTGATGTCACGTTTTGGTTAGGCCGCCCCTAACTTTCTTCCAGCCGTTCCCGATATTATTCAGCATTGCGCGTTGTGATAACCGGTGTTCAGACATACGTAACGCGTGGCCCAACCGTCGCTGCTACCTTAACGTGGTGGTGGGGCTTATCCATCGTGATGACACAATCTAGCTATAATGGCCGGAACAACCATTCTTCAAGGTCCTACCATGCCAGACAGGTCGGTTAAAGAGCGATAAGACCATAAGCAGCAAACTCAAGGTGTGAGGATAAAGTCGTACTACTGATTGTACAGAGATGTGACGGTAGTAAGGTGTTTCCTTCAAACATCCAGAATAACAGCAGTACTGCCTTCCCACAAAGGAAGGGTGTGGTTAGGAAAGATCGACCCTAAAATTGCACACCTCACCTGATCCCACGGACATCCGTCCCCGGTGGCAAGGTATCAACAAGTACGGAACTAACACGAAGATTACTCACAAAAAGGTTGTGTGTGACCGATCTGAAGCAGTTGTCCCTTGGGCACTGTGATTACGCTCTCAAGTCACTAAGACCACCCCTAACCTAATTTCCTTTTCAGGTAGATCTAGAAGAACCCTTTCACGGTGTGGACAACCGGGAATTCATAATCAACCTCATACCTCTAATAGCACTCAACATCACTGTATTCATAATCGATCCCCCCAATTCATTCATTACTAACATGCAAACTAGTTATATAGAATCGGTACCATTAATTATGCAATTAAGTCGAGTCGTTGTATCTGTAATTAATCGTATCAGTTTTCCAGATTGATTTCTAATTAATACGTTTTAATTTGTAGTCGGTATTCGTTAGAGACTAATCTTAATTAAAGCATTAATGAAAAGTATAAACCACTGGACACACGTTTTATCCTAATATCGGACTCTTCAACTGTGCATATTTACAATCCTATCAGAGAGAGCATATTTCGCCTTCAAGATTTTCACAAAACACTTAACCATTAATTCATTGGGTTGGTATCCAAATTTCTAACATCGTGTATGCCAACCCAGTGATCCAAATATGTTGTATGAACGACTTTTAAAAATGTGCCTGTATACAATTCTATATTGCTTGTATTGGTTTAAATGTGTAGGGATCCCATTGGTGCTCATTGCTTGACTCTATTATAATCGGATGATGATGCTTAACTTCATATATATTTATCGACGTAATTACTGTCAATAAATGACGGGATCAAACAACTCAAATACAAATGCATGTATTTCGCACATCCGTCAATGCAGACAAACAGAAAGAGAAGAAAAAGCACAGAAAGTCAACATGTCTACTGAATTTGATTAAATCATAACTTCAACTTGTATAATCATGAAAGATAAAAGTAAGTGTGGTGTCAACATGCACAAGTAGTACGTAACACCGATCAGAAGTGGAATGTCTATCAAAAAAGGTTGAGAAGATTGGACTAAAGAAATTAGGAAGTGAGACAGAAAGGAATTAAGAATTGAAATAATCACGAAGGATACAAATGAAAATTGATGGAAGATTTGCAAATGAAGTATACAATATATAGTCGTCACATTTTACCAAAGAATAATAAATTGATTGTCCTCACCTGAGTTCTCGTTCACTACACAAGCATATAGACACATACATACTACCGTAAATACATCCCAAGGTCGCATACATAAATTTAAATGACTAAGAAGATCAGAGTAATTCATCTATCCAAAAGTCAGGGTAAATCACATAGGTGGGTATTAATATAGCTGTTACGTGCTAAATACCTGTTAATTTATAAACGATCACAAAATAGTTTTTCACTAATCACCTGACCTTAATTTTCGAGATTGTTGAGTGATATCGAGATCACAGACTGACCTAAATTAAATAACTACTGAAACCCAAGAAGGACTGAATAGCTTTTCCATCTTAGTATTGGATTCCTCAGCAGTGCGCATCCACAACCCCACCTCAGGAGATTGAACCCAAGACCTTTTGTGTCGCTAGTAAATACTTAACCTTTAAGGTCACTCAGCCACCATCCAATGGTTTATACGTCTAACTTTAATCAATTCGCAATATCTAGCAACAAACTTTCAGTGTATGCTTCTAGGCTTTTAATGGTTGTCTAACTTGTGCTAGTTCGTGATCACAATGATCTTAGTCTGTTAATTACAGTAAAGAACATTTTTGATTGAAGTTAAAAAGGTAAACCGTTAAATTCAACCTCAGTAGTTTAAAGTTATCTTTCTGTTGACAAAATCTAAAAGTCATGGCCATGATTCTTTATTTAAGGTCGTGGGTATGTGCTAAAATAAAGAGTATAATCAGGCTGCTAATTACCATCTAACTTTTCATATGTTCTTTAACTGTTGTCATTCTGTAACAAAAATCATTGGTGAGACTATAACTTATGGACAACCTTCGAGCGACGCTGAAGTGACCTTGAGAGTGTCTACCTACTTACTAAGTGAGGGTTATTAAGCAGTTTAGAGAATAAGGATTATGATTCACAGTTAATAGTTAGGGTTAGGAATTAGAATTACGGTTTTTCATCACGAACTGACATCAGCTAAAATGACAAGACATTATTTGACCAAATGAGTGAGTGAATTTCACGCTAAAATCCAAGATCTGTTATCGTAAATCTGATTGGTTCGTTCATAAGTTATAGTCTCTCCATTCCAACATTTTAAAACTACTCTTTTCAATAGCTACCATGAGTATGTGTAGAAAAAATCAATAATTGAGTGTCTGCTAAGAAAAGATCGTAGAAAACATTCTAAATTGCTTAGAAGCAAGTAAGATCTATGAATACTACACTTTAGCAAAGTTGAAGAAGTAGTTCTAATTAACTAGAATGTCCATGTTGACAAAATAACAGCAGCAAGTTCTCTAAATGACCTCTACAAGTTAAATATAACTGAAATGATCGATAAACTACTAAGTGAAATCTTTAAGAGAATAAGAAAGGATCATGTTGAATAATTAAGGTATTTATAAACGTATTAATCTAACAATATCAACGATACTATAGTGAAATATTTTGTTCAAAGTACAGAAATTTGGGTTATTTGTCCAGCTCATTTTTGACTTGAATAGATCTACTAATCAGTTTTCAGCGAAATGTTTGGAATATTTCTTGGGGCCTGTAAGAAAACATATTCCCATATATTCCCTACTCTTGTGGGCGGAGGGACGGTTGGGCTACTCGACTTTCTTTATAATTGAAAAAAAAAACATTTCTGAATTATTTTGATACTTTTACTATTGATTTGGCGATTAATGAAAATATCATGTACTGCTATCGCTTACTTAATTTGTACTGATGATGTCATTCAGAATAACGATGAAAACGCCACGACTAAACCATTCAATTCAAAGAACAAAGCTCTACCAAAATCATTTACCTGAGCTACAAGTCTTCTACACTATCGTGCATTTCCCAATTCTACAGAATTATTAAGAGATCTTTTTGTAATTTCATTGATTAAGATCATGAGTCAGTTGAAGCTAGACCACCATGGAAAACCTGGAAGCACTGGACGGCCGTCTGACACAAGTCACGAAATATCAAAAATACAATTTTCTACGCATTTGGATATCACAAAAATATGTTTATTACGTTGTTTTCTTATGTCTTGTGTACTTTAGTTGATTTTAAATAATTAAGCTCAAAAGAATATTTTAGTAGCTGAGATCATGAGTTAATTGAAGCTAGATCATCTTGGAAAACCTGGAAGCACTAGACAGCTGTTTCGTCCTATTGTTGGACTCGTTAGCAGTGCTCAAACACGATCCCATGATTTTAACCCAGGACATGTGGGTCTTGCACGCGAATGCTTAACCTCTAGACCACTGAGTTGGCATTCAAACGGTGTTAATGTCTAACTTCAACTAATCTACGAAATTGAGTGACACATCCACCATTGTCTTCAATGAGTTACTATCTCACAACAGACCTGGTTGAACTCCATTGGTTGCTGATTCTCATTAGAACTCCAGGAAATATCTATTGAAGCTAGTCACTAGCGAGCATATGCTGGGGAAATCCCACAATAGGATGAAACAACCGTTCAGTGCTTCCAGGTTCTTCAAGATGGTCTAACTTCAAGTGACTTATGACCTCAACTATTAAATTACTATATTATCCATAAAAACCTTTTTCTGTTATCAAAAAATTATATTTATAATTTATTAATATCGTTAAAATCAAGTTTATAGCTTCAATACGAGTTACATAAACAGATTAATCACACCCATTACTAAGATACACGAAATAGCTTATATGTAACTCTAATATTAGATCAGTTACAAATCATGTTTTTGATACTTATTATGAATATAGAAAATTCCATATTCGTATGAAAGTTAATCGGTGACAATGTTTTCAGGTATAACCCAATTACTAACTTAAAGGGATTAAATGATTAGTACATTCGTTTTCATACCTGAGAATCTCAAGTTCAATCCTTGATTTGAATCTTAGATAGAAAGTTATTTACTTGAACGAAACAACTATTCAGTACTCCTTAGTTTTTGTGAGGACGCTCCACAGGTGAACTCAAGAAAGCTCTAAGAAGCTCAGAAAGATCTGAAGATATTTCATCCAATCATCTTTTGGAAGTACATTCCAGAATCCCTACCGTATAGCTTCCCTATTGGACAAATGCTAGTAACCCCCTGTGTGTGTGTGGATGGGATAACTATAATGATGATTTCACTTTTACTAAAAACTATACATACCTGATAGTTTTGTACCATAATTGACACTATTTGGCATAACGTTCCTTTCACTTAACTTTTGTCTTCTCATCTGCAACTTAGAAGTGTCCTAACGCCGAGTGCTGAAGTTATACGCGGCATAGTAAGGATATAAGCTCTAGATACAATAATTTTTAATGAGTAGTCTATGAAAAGTAGTAATATTAAAAAGATTTTACATGATTAACTAATCTGTTGGAACCTTCTGCAGATCTTTTTGTGTATAAGTCTAAGAGAAAAAACGTACGAAATATAAATTCATCCATTCGGGAATAGAACATTCACCTTCTTTAACACTTATAAGAACTCAATAAGTATATTAGGCATCTTCATATTACTAGTTAAGGATATACATTTATGATTGATTTGTATATTATTTATATTCTAAACATTTAGTACGTTTAAAGCTATCATTTTACATCATAGTGATAAAAAGTAGCTTTTCCATCATTATCATCATCATCATCATCATTTTAAACATTCTAATCACTATGCATAGAATATCTGCTATCTAGATGGTGGTTGGAGGTAGTCGACAGGAAACCCTAGACCCGGGTTTCGTGCTACTTGGCACTCGTCAGCAAGATGTACCTGTAATCTTAAGGGAACTGGTGCTCCCTGACGGATTCGATCCCGTGTCACCCAGCTTCACAGTTAGAGACGTTACCACTCAACATAGTGCACACTGTGTCGAGTCACCTAGACTGGTGGCCACATTGCAACATGGTCTATAGCATTCGATCTGCACTAATAAGGACTTGACAAACATGACATTGATCACCACCCAGTGATCAGTCAATTGTGATATCTGCTATTTGTTTGACATAATGTAAAATAAAAACCAAATGCGGGCAAAAACTTAAAAGTCATTTACTTGATTTTGATTGGCTTAGTCCTATTACTACGCTTTTACCAATATTTCTACCTCATTAACTAAAGAATTTCTGCTTAGTTGTTTTGCATTAATATCTCTATACATTATACTCCATTTATTGATTAGGAAACAAAAGCTTTGACAAATGTAAAACACCGATATCCTGTTACTGGTTTGGCTAAACGAATGAGTATTGCTGCATCAGATCTTTTAGGTAAATCGGTAAGTTTCTTTGAAATAGTTTGATTTTGTTGTTGTTGTTATTATTATTACTACTGTTAACAATTGATTGCATATCATTGTTTTAAAATAAAAGCTGGTTTAGTCAGACATAATCATCTAATTGCCTGGCACAAATGTCTATTAACCCAAGTTACCGTATCACAAAAACAATATGAGTTGATATTACCAAGATGTTTAGTAAAGAAGTCGAAATAATTGTACTTGTAATGATAACAGTAATAGTTTGATTTGAGAAGATGGAATGGAAAGGTGTGTATGAAGGCACTCAAGATCAAAAGAAAATAAAGCGAGTACAACTGTGGTATTGAAACTGATTCTGAGTTAACCAACGTATTCAGTCATTGATCACAGTTATAGCGAGGTCTTCATACGGATAGTATACACCTGCCAACATGACTCAGATCGAAAAACAATGACATAATGAAATAAAACCAAGTCTTTATTTGGTTACATTTTGCTTTCTTCTAACTTACTTCTACACCAACCATAACAGAACGTCAATGTATTCAGTTACTGAGCATACGTAACATATGTCACAGGTACCTTAGTCAACAAAACTGCACTACCTCATCAGCTGATTTGTTATCTTTCTCTAGTAACTTATGCCTAACCTTAGCATTATTTACCCGGTCGTTCCACGGTACACGAACAATTTCTCAAAGACACGTATAGTTGAAACCTTGCAGCTTACGCATGGCTTTTAATTCCATAGAACATGTTTCACAGCTATAGAGTAATATGGAGTAGATTACTTTCGAGAATACTAGGTCTTTGATTCATTCACGGAAATCTCATCTCCTGTACAAGTGACATAAGTTTGGAAAAGCCGAGGAGTGTTTTTGAGTTGTTTGACATGACTTTGAGAATCAACCACCATGCCTAAGTGTGGAATAAATTGAACAAAATACACGTCTTAGATTTCTTTACTCTTAATCACAATCTAAATATATAATAATGTTTTATATTTGTTGAAATTCACACATGTTTTTCAGTATCACGGATACCACAAAACAACCCAGATTAGATAAACATTGAGACCCGGGAGCCCTGGACAGCTTTCTCGCCTTAGTATACGACTCCTCATCAATAGATGTCCACGATGGTATCATCAGCGATTAAACTTAGAACTTATAGTCTTGCTCTCGAACGCTTAACCTGAAATCCAGTAATCAACTATCCAGTGTTACATATATCTAACTTAAATTAATTCACAACAAAGAGTGATCATTTTTCATTGTTCTTTGTGAGTATCTACTTCATACTTGACAAAATTGAAATTCACTAATCACAACTTTACACTATTATTGCAAAATTACCTCTTGAAATCAGTTACCAGTAAGCAATATGATCATTGACAGCATAAAAGATTTTAGAGATCATTGAATATTAATGATCATGTTGTTATAGTCTTCAGCACAGTTGGAGGCAATTTGAATTATATTCCTTTTCAGATATACATTCATATTTTGATGTATTTAAATAAATTCAGATTAAAATGTTCTAACAACTCAACCCTTACAAATACACACACACACATATCTGAGCTTACCTGCAGTATTAGATAACTATTGTTGGGGACATGTTGGTGGCTAACATGATATTCTATAATATTTTCTTGTAACTTTCTATAGGAAACATTGATTTGGATTAGATAACGTTATGTTATAATCATTAATCAGAATAATATATTGAATTAATTAAAATCATAACTCCAAGTTACATGTTTCGTAACACTTCTTTAGTGGGGACACTTCAGAAGTTAGATGTTACATAATAACCTAACAGCTATTATTCAGTCAGATATTGAATCTATTGCAATCTGACTGTGAATCATGGATTGTACTGTTATTTATTACTGAAATAATGTCACGAAAAAAACACTAAACATAATATGTTATTTATAAGCAAAGATGGATAGTGCCTAGCAGTGGGACTCGTAAGCTGGATGTACCTGCATCTCAGAGTTGATGTTCACTCTGGGACTCGAAGTTATTGATACAATCACATTCATTCAAAAGCATATAAAACATGATACGTTTAAGAATCGATTCAAATTACCACATCACATCAACATAGCGGGATGAATATCGACATAATAGTAAAAGTATAGTGAACGAGAACTCAGTTGTGGAAGGCTAATTTATTGTTTAATGCACAATTACACAATGGATTCATATACATCAAATGATTGTAAAACAGTTGATGGGGTTGTGAATATTCATCGACTGAGATGGTTGGGCCACGTGTTACGTATGCCTGAACACCGATTATCAAGACGCGCAGTGCTGACTGGTGTTGAGGATGGTTGTTCTATAAGAAAACTCTTGGGAAATGTAGACTAGTTTTATTGGACTGGGATAGATGAAAATATATTCGCATTACTTGGTTTCATGTACCATTCGCCAAGTCTCTTTTATCTATTTAACAATTATCCTTTTATAGAAGGCGGTTCATCGTTGTTGAACAAAGTGTCCTTCATTTAATATCCTGAATCCAAGCTCCTAATATACGTTTTTTTAATAATCACCGTATTTTCAAAGGATCAAACTTTACATATACTTAGTTTTCTTCAAATCAATTCCCCCTCTCTCGTTGCTTTTCAGCGTGATGATCTCATTTTGTTGCTTCTTCAATTAAATCGTGAAAAAGCCAATCTAAAAAGATGGTATGAGTATTTCACTTATCAAATCGATCAAATTCAATTGGTAAAAGGGTAAGTGTAATTGGGATTCATTTTTTATTGAATATTTTCTACATTTTTATTTGTTAGCTCTCTGGTATTTTTTGTGACTTTTATACGAACTATTGACGTCGGTGTACAACTCTTAGGTCCTGGGTTCGAATCCTGCGAGGCGGGGTCGTGGGAGGAGTCTCAGAATAGGAAGAAACTGCCGTCCAGTACTCCCAGGTTTTCCCATGGTGGTCTAGCTTCAATTAACTCATGATTTCAACTATTGAAATTACTAAAGTCTCCACAAAACCCCTTCTGATAATATTTATATGTGTTAAATGGAATTCCTAAACCAATCAAAGCAGTCAGTGATAACAATGGGATGGATTACATAATCAAGGTACATTTACCGTAGCCAGCGCTTGCTTTCAACTCGGATACGGGAACATATCCCAGTGAGGTTCTACAAGGGTGATAGGAAAGCAGTTACAAGTTCTATCCTTGAACATCTAATCGACTCTAATCATTCTACTGATTTACAGGTTGATTTTAAGGTTGGTTATACGTTTCATCCAAGCACAATAAGTAAAAATGTACAAATTGATAATGTGATGATAGGTGTACTAGTTGTAATAAGAATAACAAATACGTGAATCAATGTTTCATAATGGGAAATAGGTCAATGGCTTACAAAATAGATATGCTGGAATAAAACTCATAAAAACAACAACATTACATAATGAGAAGTGTTCAGATAATTGGACAATGAAGCGTTTATTTGAAAAGAAGGTGGGGGGGGTGAAGCAAAATAAACGAATAAAGAGTATAGAAAATAGTAGTAAATAAAATCTTTCATTATGGCTTATTCGGCCTAGGAAGAGCTAAAAGTTTTCAAATTGCAAATGAATACAGAGACTCAGATTGTTACCTTGAATCTTTGTATCTTCTGCTATGTTTAAGAGACGAAATCAAACTCCATATTGAAAAACTATTAGGAATACGACAACTCACTTTAAATGACCTATTTCTATCTAGTACATGACCATTATCGATAAAGTGTGATAGAACAGACCTGCATATTGTTTTGATGATACTTCTTCCTAACTACAAAGGGAGGTGTTCACTAACTCGTTGGCTCAGTTGTTTGGTTGTGCGTCCAATATAGCTCTCTCCACAGGAACAGCTGAATCTGTAGATATACATGGATGCGGCAGAAACAGTTAACTTATCATTTAGTTGAGGAATCACCATATATCGGCTGGAGCACGACAGACAGATGTTAGTTGCATTAAATGAAACATTGATACAAGCTTTTGTTATTCTATAGCAACTCACGTTCAATTGAGTTTGCTCTCACCTAATTCGGTTAAGCCCTTTTATTAACTTATTAAACGGACAAAGTCACCTGCACTATAATAACTCATTGTATCCTTATTACTGTTGCGAATGTATGTACCTTTATTATTGTTATCCTTGTATGAATATGTATGCTCGGCAAGCCTTACTGCCTACGCATTTATTCACGCTACTAGCTTTACTATTAACCGCTTAATTGACTTGATGATTCATTAATTTCACTATGTATATATATGTCCATGTTATTCATATTCATGACTCGCTCGCTCGATCGCTCGCTCTTGCCCTTGCTCTCTCTCGCCCGCTCGCTTGCCTGTTTGCCTTTCGGCACAACTATTTAATGCTTGCTTAACGCATCTGTAATTTTGGATATCTGTGTGTGGTCTCTTAATAAACGTAATTAACGCTTCGTATTCGCCTTCTGATTAACATACCGTTGGAGCATTATTTGGTGACGGTTACCGAGACGAACTGTATACGGAGTTTAAGGAATATATCGAACACCGACCACCACAATTCTTATCACAATTAGTACACCCATCGTCACATTGTCAATTTGTACTTTTCACTTAATTATGTAACCTATTCTAGTGTTATCATTGACTCACAAACTGTTTTGATTATTTTAAGTTTCGTATAGGCGTATAAATATTACTGTATATTAGGGTAAAACCTGATGAGAATCTAATTCAAAACAATATTGTTTGCTTATATATATTGTAACATACAAGACACGAAACGACAAAAACAGCCATATTGTAATCAATGACTTTTCACTTCTCCTTATTATATCGATAATTCAATATACCAAACACATTTATTATGGATGAAACTATTTTGTACACAATTGTTTTGTGATTTCACTTACATTTGATAATTCTGACTTTTTGATCCATTCCCTGACAAAGATCAAACCTGACTAACTTATAGGTGTAATTTCTTTTATTGAGATCACGAACCGATTGATGTTAGACCATCATTAGAAATCTGGAAGGATTGGACGGCCGTTATGTCCTAGTATGAGACTCCTCAGCAGTGCGCATCCACGACCCCGCACACTGAACTATTAATTTATAAACGACCACAAAATATCGTTGAAGTTAAACATTAACACCATCAGATGTCGGCTCAGTGGTCTAGAGGCTAAACGTTCGCGCACGAAACCGAAGGTCCTTGGTTCAAGTTTTGCATGCATGATTGTGGGTTGGCACAATAGGTTATTTTAGTTATATCGGAACATATTCATTCTTATTATCTTGTCCCTATTTTCAATGACCTTCATTTACTTACATTGAAAACTCACACCAAAATTTTACATTTTGTAATTGGGTCTTTAACCTTTGGTCTCCTATGTCCTGTAGCTTCTAGTCTGTCTGGTGATTCATCTATCGATTAACGTTTTATTTTACTCATTCATGTGAACCATATTAGCTGATTTTCACTAATTATATCCATTCATACCAACAAACAAAACCAACACATTAAAACCATTTCCTTTAATTTAAATAAAGAATTTTATAGAGTTTATTTTAATGTATGATTGTTGTCAAATATAGATCTCATTCTAGAATGGGACTTCTTAGCAGTGCACACCCATAACCCTATAAAGGATCGAGGTCAGGACATTTGGATATGACAAGAAAGAAACAGCTGTTATCAATATCATCGGATGGCCGCTGCACTTTATTGAAAAGCCGATTAACTCTGGAACTGCCTTGATGGGCGCCAACTCGGTGGGTCTAATCGTTAGGCGTTTGTCATGAGACTTAGGGACCTAGAATTCGGCTACAGATGGGAGTCCCATACGAGAAGAGAGTAGTCATCTAATGATTCATAATTTTCAATAGTACCTTACTTGAAATCGATATCTGACTAATCAATACAAAATCCTTTCACCAAACCTTTAAATCCTTTTTTGAAATTGGATTTTAGAAATACAAAAGAAGCAAAATCAGATATAGCTGTAATTCAGTCTGAATTGAATGATGTAATTGGCCAGTTGAAATTATCAGATCCATTAATTAAGTTTCTTGATAATATGATCCGTATGGGTGATGTTTATGGTGGTGATGATGTATTGTTTGCTAGTGAATACCGAAGAGTAAGTTATCTTGTTTTTTGTTGAATGTCTTTTGACGGCAGAATAGTATTTTTTGCTAAGAGAGGTGAAGAAGTGTCTAATCAGTATAAAACCATGGTGAATTGGGTTTAAATACTTATTTCATAATTCAGTTATGTAGCTGAATAAGGATTTATTCAAACTAGAGTTTGATGCAGGTTTGACTTAATGGTCAGAATACTTGACCTTTAACCACTAGATAACAAGTTTGAACATTGGCTAACCCCCTCTTTTTGTTCAAGGAACTATTGAGAATATGAATCACCATTTCAACACTAAAGTGTTGCAGTAATGATGTTAATAATATTATCTTTAGAGATTTTCACCGTGAAACAGTTAATTTATAGTTACCGCCAAGTGTGTATATGGATTGAGATTTATCTGCTAAAGGCATCAAGTTGGTAGACCGAACTGTTTTCTGCATCATTAATCTACAACCAAACTCCTATCTTTGTAGATTTTCTGAAGCTATAGCCATCAAACTCCTTAAGCCGAAATTGTCTATCCAATAGGAAACAGTGTTGATCATCCTCAACATTGACAATGTTCAGCAATTTTTTCAACGTTTAATGACTTTTAGTCTAAATTAGAAATAGTTCAGCCCTGGTGGTTGATTCGGCTAAGTATCAGTACACCACAATGTTAATTAACAAAACTTGGTTGATAAAATGCAGTCAGAAAGGCCGACTAGATTATGTGACATAAAACGTTCGCTAACGGCCTGTTGGTGGATTAAAACGGTACTAAAAGAGTGCCATAACTGAGAATGGAATACCATGAAACACTTGATCGGTGTTTTGGTGAACATCGACTGTGCGCATCTGTGCGTCGTGGAAAAGACAATAACACCACTCATCCACTGATTTGAACTCAAGTTTTCAAAAGTCCTCTTTTTTTAGTCAGTTCATGATTAAAAAAAATAGCCAATTATTCAACTTTTGTAATTTTCTTGAGTTAACGTTTTTTTACGTGGTCTTCTTTTAATCATCAAAATAGCATCTATTACCCTCTCATGAGATTGTTCCATCAAAACCAAGTTTAGAGTTTGCTCGTAACATTGAAGAACGTGAAATAGCTCGTGTTCTAAATAATTCATTACGTCATTCTCTACATCGTACAAGTCCTTTATCTGATGGAAATCATTTCAGTCAACCAATAACACCTATTTCATCATCGCCATCATTACCATCATCATCACCTTTCAATAACTTAAATACATCTATTGTACCGAAATTAGATAATATGCCTGAACCGGTAGAAATTCGTTTACAACGAAAACGTTTGGAACAAGAATTAGCTAATATTGAAAATCTATGTGCTCCACATCAGTTAATCCATAGAAAATTGAAGGATACACAAAAATCAATTCGATTAACTGAACGAAATAAATTATCTACAGAACAAGTAATAGAAAAATGTATTTTTATATTTGTGTGTAAACTACTTGTTTGTACATCTTTGTATTGGTTATTTAAATCTTCTGCTTGATTTTAAGAACTGTAATGAATCAGTCTCTTATTGGTATATGTGCATCATATGCGGATTGTTTCAATATTGAGTTCAGTTACAAGTATTATAAGCGGAGATGATAATGGCTAGTATTGGACATTAGGATGCGCGTTTCTCCCTTTCTGGGATTAAGTGGATAACGTGATAGAGTTTTAAGTGAATGGTACTGAGTTTGAGTCACAGAGTGAACATCAACTCTGAGATGCAGGTACATCCAGCTGACCAGTCCTAAATAGGACGAAATGAGTGTCCTGGATTCCACTGCTAACCAGTATCACCTCTACTTATATGTAGCTTAAATTGTTAACAGTAAATACTCGTTCATTCGACAAATAACCGATAAATACTTGAGATTCAATTCAGTCATATAGCTGAGATTTATTTGGTTCTTTTTACCTTGAATAAGTACTTCACTACCAGTTTTTAATTAACATTGAGTCACATATATACAGTTCGTATGTTATTTCATTTTATTTATTGTTTTTTTATTTGAACACATAAATATGGGTACCGAATACATATGCACTACACAAGTCACTTCATTTGTGTGTAGACTATGATACTGCCCGGGTGCTCCAACCGAATTAGGTGGTTTTCTCAGGAGGCCACACTCGGAACCTTTAACCTAAAGGTCTGATCCACAAGGCAGTGGAACATTGTAAGTAGATGTAGTCCCATGGTAGCCCGTCAACAAGTTGAATTTGTGCAATAAACAACATATTGAACATTGAATTATTTATAGTTAAACAACTGGAAATTGAACATGGTTTTATTATTATTATTATTATTATTATTATTATTATTATTATTATTATTATCGTTTATTCATATCAATAATTTATGAACGAACTAATTAGATTTGAGATAGTAGGTCTTAGATTTTGGCGCGTGACTCATTCACTCATTTGGATAAATATTATTTCAATATTAAAGCTGATGTCAGTTCGTGTTGAAATCATTGAATCTAATTTATAACTCTAATGTTCAATTGTAAATTGTAATCTTAGTTCTTCGCACTAATTTATAACCCTTATTTAACCCTAGTAAGTAGATGAACATTTTCAAGGTGATTTTAACGTTACTCAAATATTGTCCATAAATTATAGTTTCATCAAATTTCCTATTTTGTTTTAGTCAAATAAATTTAATTCCAAAGGACCATCAGCTACTTTATTACGTAGATTACATCAAGATAGTATATATAATCGTCAGTCAAAATCTGCTAATAATTCAATTAGACGTAAATTAACTGGATCTGATTATGCTGAATTCTATGGTGATGTATATAAACGTCCCAATACTGCATTTGACCATTATTCACAATCATCAATAAAAAATAAATCATACAATATTCATCATAAATATCATTATGATGATGGTGACAATGATGAAGTAGTGGGAGATAAAGATGGAATTAAAACATTTCGAAGGTTTGTTAAACTTCTTTTAATAAAATTTAATGTTTTAATTTATAATAGAAAAGAATTTCAAATTTAATTAAGTAAGCAACAACAAAAAAATACAATTAGATGTGAATAGAAGTTATACTAACTGAAGTAAATCAAACTTTGAAATAAAGAACATCTAGCTGATGAGTTCTAAATAGGACGAAACATGTCTTCTGGATTCCACTGTTAACCATCATCTATCTTGGCTTATGATATAGATGATAATCAAAAATTCTTAGTAGAAACAACTTGTGTAATAATAACAGTAATGATAAAATACAAATAGATTTTGGCAGAACGGACAGTTAATATGAGTAAATTATGTTTATGGTAAGGAGAGATAAAATGAAACCGGGTCTGTTGTGAGATAGTAACTCACTGATGACAATGGTGGATATGTCGCTCAATTTCGTGGATTGGTTAAAGTTAGACATTAACAACGTTGGATACCGGCTCAGTGGTCTAGAGGTTAAGCGCTCACGCGCGAGACTGCTAGGTCCTGGGTTAGAATCTCACTAGGCGGGATCGTGGGTGCACACTGCCGAGGAGTCCGACAATAGGATGAAACAGCTGTCTAGTGCTTTCAGGTTATCCATGGTGGTCTAGCTTCAATTGACTCATGATCTCAACTATTGAAATTACTACAATCTCCACAAAACACCTTCTGATATAATAAATCATTTTCTGATATACAGTTGCGGTTTAAAACTATGTATGGCCAATGATTCAATAATTTATGGTAGGTTTAAGCGTATATCCGTACAAATCTTTGATTGAATCCTATCATTATTAATATCAAATAATAAATGTTAAATCTAATGTTTTGAATCTTCTACTTGTTATACGGTGTTATACTGTGCTGAGACAAACAGGTAACTGTGCTCGAATGTAATGCAGACATAATCTAGACGAACAATTTACTTACCTAGTTCTACTTGAGCTAGTAAACATATAGATACACTCTGGGTTAGTTACCAGTGGCAACACATGTGGTGGGGGGATGGCATAAAATCGTTACAAAGAAATAAAAGTTGTTTAATCAAAATTTTTTTTTCTTTTTTTTTAAAATTAAAGTATCCCAGAAAATTTAAATTTATTTCCAAACGATTCATTATTTATGAAAAATACATTAAAACCATTACAAGATGAAAGGCATAAACCATTGAATTTTAGTAATCCACCAATTCGATCAAGATCTTATTCTGAGAAACCAATATCATCGATAAAGACAACACTAATCAATAATCCTTTAAGAAAATCATTTGAATTATCTTCAAAATATTCTCATGATGATATGGAAGATGAAGATCATTATGAAAATAATCAAAGAATTTGTAATGAATTACGAAAGAAATCTTTTCATCAAGAATATTCTACAAATAAAGTGAATCAAATCAATGAATGGAATTATGATTTATCAGAACAAAAGGTACCTTCCATTGTTTTATAAATATGAATCTGATTAGATACTAATATAGGAATATGTAATTTAACTTATTCTCTTCTATGATTGAAGCATTTATAGTCTAATTCTTGGGAGATTTGTATGTATAGAGTCAATGTAATCTTTCTTTTATATATTACCACCATTGAATTAACTACTTCTGTGGTATGTGCTACTTATGTAGACATAAGTAGTATATGATGTTATTCGTGAACAGAATGTCCGGCAACAAAAAGATAAGAAGATCGAGCAGTAAAGAATGAAGACAGAATGCAATTTGTATGAAAATGCAAGAACAATGAAATCTGAGTCATTTTTAGATAATTGATGGACGTTTTGCAAATTAAGCATTTACTATGTGGTTATTAGATTTTATTAACAAGTTCTGTAATTTGTTATCAATTACATTCGGTTGTCCCTATTGGTGTTCGCGTTCAATACACTTTAATGAATCCGGTGTTCATCTTGATGTGCTGATGAGGTATGGCAACTTGAACCGATGCATATATATGCCTGGTTCTACGTTGTAACTGACTGACTGACTGATGTATAGAGTCTTGTCATAGAACTGTTCAGTACTTCTTAATTTTCAGTGATTGTTTAAAGTTGGTGCATAATTGAATTTATCATTTCTTTTTTTGTCACATTAGATAGATTATCATATTGTGGTCTGTTATCTCAGTGGAAAAGTTTTGCCTTACTATAACATTTGAATAGCCTAAATTAAGGAATGAAACAACATCAAAACTATATTTTTAGAAAGGGGTTTTGTGGTGATTGTAGCCGTGACTAGTGGAGTTCAATTGGATCTGTTGTGAGATAGTAACTCACTAGAGACAATGATGGACGGTGGCGCAATATCATGGGTTGGTTGAAGTTAGAGATTAAGACCGTTGGATGCCGGCACAGTGGTCTATAGGTTAGGCGTTAGCGCGCGAGACGGACAAGTCCTGGGTTACAATCCCGTGGATGTGTTCTGCTGACGAGTCTCATATTAGGATGAAACGGCCGTTCAGGTTTTCCATGGTGGTTTAGCTTTAATTAACTCATAAACTCAACTATTAAAACCATATTTATTTAGTTAAATCAAATCTAAAATAAATGGTTCAAAACTTTAAACGTATCACCGAGTATGTAAAAATAATGTCTTAGTCCTTCAAGCAATTCATTACGAAGATAACTCATGGATTAGGGTTGAGCAGTCTCATAAAACTTGTCTTTAGACAAACGATACAGATAATTTTACAAGTCTCAGTTTGAGGACAGTAGAGAATTATACCTCAAAAAACATGTTATATATAATTGTAGGTCAAACAGCTTAAATTTATAAGTATTGAATTCCAGTCTAGTGATTTCAAGTTAACATGATCATGACAAAACCTGACGATCACAGCTTTAATCTCCAACTGTCGTGCACGCTTCATGTGGAAGAGTCACAGACTAGTGTAAACACTACTGTCCAACACGCCTCAGGTTTACAATGGCTATTCAGCTGATGTTGAAACTTATGCATTATGTATGGATTACCTTGGTATTTCCGTTTACTCACAAGCTTTTGTTAAAGTTGGGTAGCAGCTAACATTGATATTCTTCAAAGAAAAAACGCACTGAGTTTACATCTCAATGTGAATATCAACAGTAAGTTGAAAGACGTTTCCTTGCTGCTACCATTAACCATTGTTCAATTTTCATAAAACGTTATTCATCACTTCAATTCATTCTATGTATCTTTAATATCTGTCTTTTTTTCTGTTAATCATTGATACAAATAGACGTTGAATCATATAAAACCATCTCATGATATAGATCATCTTCAATTTAAGCCAAATATGTTGTCCTCCGATTATTCAAAGTATTCTGCATTTGGTAAGTAAATGTTCTATTTAAATATAAGACATTGAGATTTTATTTATTGATTTACTTATTTGAACGCATAGATATTGTTACAAAGAGGCACCAGATACACACAAATCTCATTTGATTTGTGTGAGGGCTGTGATACTGCCCGGGTGTCCAAACCGAAGCAGGTGGTTTTCTTAGGAGACCACACCCCGAGCCTTCGACCTGAACGTCTAACCCACAAGGCAGTGGGGCATCGTGAGGAGATGCAGTCCCATGGTAGCCGGTGACCAACGATTGGTTCGTACGCCATTTGTTCCTTCAGGATACTGGAGCCCATGTGCACCATTGGTTTGGGATCCGGTTATAGCGCCGGAAATTCGCTTTTCGTCCTCTCGTTTTCGTAAACAACACCCACGCCACGAGAAGGTAGTGAGTCGGACTTCTCTGGCAGAGGCTATATACGCGTGACCATGTGAGAGCATTTCGAAAGGGATAGCGGACTCTCCCCACTCTCGGCCATACCAAGGCATTCGGGGGCCATGATAAAACTTGATAATCTTCGATTTAATGTTTTCGTGATGTTGGTTAATGAGGAATACTATCTAGTTTTTTTATCAATTCTTCAGTCAGTTAATTATATGCAATGTAGCAGATGGGACTTTCGTACATTACGTCACATTGTCACATCACATTAATTCAGCAATGCGAAGATATTAAGACAAATGTTGTTATAATATTGAAAAGGCTATACTTTCTCATTCACGCATCTGATAATAAATAATACGGCTTGATACACTAGATGAAAGACGGTGAACGCTAGATTACGATGTTAAATAATTTAACCACTAGATCAGGTCGCATAATGTGTAGTTCTGACCAACGATCGTGAACCCGAATTCGAGCCAAGATACCAGTTTATTAACAGAAGTATAGACAATCAACACAGGTTAAAGTTTAAATAGAATGAATTTACAACACAATATAATTTTAATATATTTATTATACCCGGATATTTCTATTTTCACTCAATATCTAATTATGGCTCAAATCATATGGCATAGAAGTAGAAATAATAACTGTTTTGATGATAGTATAAAATGTTAAACAGTTATGATATAGTTCCCGAAGAAAGAATGAGTTTACCGAATATAAAACTATATGATGATCGAATTGAAGACAAAAGGGAAGTGCATCCTTCTCTTTGCAACTGATTCTAAACTGTTACCTAGTATATTCGACCACTAAACGCAGTTATCATGTGAACACAACCAAGTGGTTTGCATCTACCAATATGAAAGTCAATAATTACATGAATTAATGCCATGTCGTCGTATGACCACATTTAGGTTTCTTTCACCCAACATGGTGCGTCGAATTAGGCGGTGGTTGAACATACGTAGCATATATTCCAGGCGCACTAGTTGATAAAGATTTACTACCTTATCAACTAATTTGTCGTCATTTACTTAGTACCTTGTGTCAGACCTCACTATCGCTCACTCATTGTTATAAACAAATAAATTGGTTACTTCAAAGACATATATAATCAAATCGCCCAGTGTTTTATGAATACGCTCTATTTTAAAGGCCACATTTGATAGTCATAAAAGCAACTTCGGGAACATTCATAATTAAGATAGTAGATCCAAAATCTCAATTACTAAGTTTAACTGGATCTTTTTCTTTTCAAAACTAATGTAGGATATAAAATAGGTGACCGCGACTCGACTAAAACAAAGTCAGTATAGGGTTGTGGAGATTATTAAGTTTTTTGATTGAGATCATGAACCGATTGATGTTAGACCACCATTGAAAACTTGAAAGCACTGGACGGTCGTTCTATGATTTCAATCAAAAAACTTAATAATCTCCAAAACCCTATACTGATACCTAACATGTTCTTACTAGTGACTAACTTCGTGGGAAGCCGTGACTACTGGAGATAGAGATAGGTATCTACCTCAGTACAGTGGAAGATGGTCGCTCAATTTCGTGGATTGGTTGAGGTTAAACACTAACACCGCTGGGTACCGACTCAATGATCTAGAGGTAAAACGTTCACGCGCGAGACTGAAGGCCCTGAGTTTAAATCCCACTTGCGGGATCGGGGATGCGTACTGCCAAGGAGTCCCGCAATAGGACGAGACGGCCGCCCAGTGCTTCCGGGTTTTCAATGGTGGTCTAACATCAATAGGTTCATGATCTCAATCATAAAACAAAAGTGTTCAAAAGTTTTCAAATTTTATTAGTTGATACGAAACATTTATTTCATAATTCACATGAAAAATTATCTTCACATTCTGTTCTTTTTCTAAAAGAAAAAGATTCAAGCAACTTAAAATATAGAAATTATAATCATAATATTAGACAAAAATTCGATGATTTGCTTGAGAATATTGATTTCACAACAGATCCGGGTCATTTCAATCAAGGTGATCTGTATAGAAATAATGATGTTTCACCAAAGAAACTTAACAGAAACGAATTTGGAAGGAACGAAGTATGTCGTATTAACTATTTATCCGGTTTATTTATGTAATTGTAACTTTTTATTGTTATGGACCGACTTTGGATAGAGAAACATTGAAAGCCAGGAAATACTCACTGACCAGTGGATCGATGACCCTACAGAAGATTGAACCCAGAACTTTCAAACTACTGTAGTGAAATTTGATGGGTCACTCTTCTAACTTCAGTTAGTTTGTGATTACTATCCGCTGTAACCTGTGTTGCTTGTTTCTCTTCTGGACTCGATTGTACTCAAGTGATTACTGCTTCTCACTACAACTCATAAAATTTCATCTCAAGTTAGGTACTAGGAAGTAGATCGTTTTAGTTGATATAGAGGATTTATGGAGATTTTTAGGTCTCATGCCCTACATTACTATTGGATCGTTGTGAGAGGCAATTCCCTCAGTTCTACTAAGCAGACATAACCAATGAAGTTCAATCTACCAGTTACCTACCGTTGGCATTGAAAGATGGCTGTGGAATATCGCGAATTAATTGAAATTAGACTTGCGAACCACTGAATGTCAACTCAGTGTTCTGATGCTTATTAATCCATCTCCACATGACTTGAAGCTTCTGACTTCGATCCTCGATTGAATCTTGTACTTTATAACTTCTAAAAGTTCTTAAGATCAAATTAGTTCTCAATTCAAACTATTGGCTCAAGCAATCTCAGTAAACCTCTGTACTACTACTGCTGCTATTACACACAGGGTTCACTTACATAACTATTTTACAATTATTTCTGTGATTTGGATGAAATGTATCAATCACTGTCTAGAATGAGCCTATGTATTTCGAGCGATTCATACAGTCAGGGTATTATAGAATCGTCAATCGGTAGAACTATCAATACGTTATGTTCTTCTCAAGAATCTTAGGTGACCCTGAGAAATATTAACCAATCAGAAAACAGTGTATGGAGTAAAAATATATTATACAAAAGCAAAGAATTAAAGTGGATACATTTCTTTTACATGGTTCAAAAACTTGTCAAGGTTAGAAAGAGGTTCAGAGGTTCTAAAATCGTAATGCATGCAGTAGAGAAAATAATCCATATTGGCTACATAGTAGTCGGTCTCTAAAGCCATGATAAGGTTGCAAAAACTCTTTCAGCCTCAACCATATAGATTCAATATTGTTTGTGTGCACTCCGGTTGTTGAGTACACAAAATGCCACGTGTGGATAACAACACGATGCACATAACCAAGCCTATGTAGGAGTCTGTACACTCTCCAGTCATCCGCATATACTGTAGTACCTGGCTGCAGCCAGTGTTACTGGTACTTTTAATATCCAGTTCGCGATAATTGTCATAATTTGCCTTACTTAAGAATTATATATAGGGTTTTCATCACGAAATGATATCAGCTATAATGCCAGAAATTTATTAAGTCAAATGGATGAAAGGCTTTCGCGTTAAAATCCGAGATCTGTTAACTTATACCTGATTGATTCGTCCACAAATTATAGTCTCGCCGTTTTATTTGTTATAGCCGCTCAATTATCAGATTTTGTACAAAATTCCCTGTGAACCGATCGTACATTAGCATTAAGCACAGAAGTTGGCGCCGTGACCTTGAAATCCCCCAAACGCTTCTGATTGGCTCGTCCGTATATTATAGTCTCACCTAAATCATTTGTTTAATGAATAACAGGTTTTGAATTCGATTTATCTGGCTAATGGGTTTTACATTTGACAGGAAATTTTGTAACCCATTGAACGTAATAATAACACTTTAGTTAGTATATAGGCTCATGAGTTGTACACTACTATGTGCTTATGTATACCAATTTTTTAAAACCATTTATCAAAGATCACTTTGTAAAACATCCGTATTTGAATTGACCCACATTAGAAAATCCTGAAATTCTCAGTGTGACCATTTTGCAAATAAATTCTCTGTATTATGATTGATACATTTCAGTCTATTTATTCAGTAAATTAAGTTCATTATGAATAAATTACTTTTTATTTCTAGGTATCCAAAGGTTCATTTTTTGAACAACCAATTACCATTGATAAAAGCTCAATGAACAAACCATCTTTGTCATCTCTAGATACTCGTGGACAAAATCCCGACGCTATATATGCTAATCTTTCTAGTCAGTTTACTTAATTTATTACATTTTTTTTTAATTTTCAGAATGTGGGTTTGTGGAGATTGTAATAATTTAATAGTTAAATTCATTAGTCGATTTAAGCTTAAACATCATTGAAAACCTGGAAGTACTGGACCGTCGATTCGTCCTAATATGGGATTCCTCAGCAGTCCACATCCACGATTCCGCACAGAATTGACTCGAACCCAAGACCTTCGTCTTCGCGCACAAACGCTTAGCATTTAAACAAATGGAGTTCAACCGTGTCTGTTGTGAGATAGTAAATCACTAAAGATAATGGTGGACTGTGGCGCAATATCGTTGACTAATTAAAGTTGGACATTAACACTGTTATATGCCGTTCGGTTCAGTGGTCTATAGGTTAAGCGTTAGCGCGCGAGATCGACACGTTCTTGGTTCGATTCCCTTGCGTGGGGTCGTGGATACGCACTGTTGAAGAGTCTCAAGCTAAGACGAAATAATTCAAAGTTCATGGTGTACATCTCTATGCAGTCAGTATTCGCACTCTTGAAACTTGACCAACGCACATATGCTGAGATAGAAAATAGTAGCCAAAGATTGAAGCTTCCAATCTATGCATATTTATAAATGACTATACAAATTTATAGATTGACATCCTGGACATTTTGATCTTGATTAAACGAATTATTCACTTTCTTGGACTACTTCAACTTACATTTTATTTATCATGTGCTTTTTAGATATCATGTAATTTGTCTGGCCTTGCTTATTACTACATATAAATATCTAATATACATTTAAAGGAATAGTATCGTTCTAATTAGAATATTCAAACTCAAGAATTGTCAAAATCTTTTCCATGAAACTTTCAGAACTTTAGGATCACTAGTGCAGTTGATTATTATGGCTAAACAACGTTTAAGATAAGGCTTCTGATTTTTTCTGTGAGTCGTCAGTTATTTAGTTGAACATATAAATATTGGTACAAAGGGGCACCAGATACTTATGTGCCACACAAATTTTCATTTTATTTTTGTGTAGGCTGTGATACTTGCCGGGTGCCCAGACCGAATCAGGTGATTTTCTCAGGAGGCCACACCCGGAACCTTTGACCTAAAGGTCTGATCCACTAAGCAGTGTAGCAGTGTAGTGTAAGACGATGCAGTCCCATGATAGCCGGTGACCAACAATTGGTTTATACGCCATTTGTTCGGTCAGGATCGAATGAGTGTTTTCCAACGCTCCTAAATGGACTCTCCGTGTCCACCAACCCGGTTAAAGCACCGGACATTTGCATTTAATCCTCTCAATTCCGTAAACAACATGCGTATCACGAGAAGGTAATGAGTAGGACTTCCCTGGCAGAGGCTATATACGCGAGAGCTGATTCTCCTCACCTTCGGCTGTATCAAGGCATTTGGGGGCAAGTTGTCAGTACAGTTAGTTGACTAGATATTATTGAACGCATTTTTTGTTAGATAATTTAAAATATGCAGTTAAATATGGAAATTTCATACGATGGCTTATTATGGATTTCAAACAAGTTTATAGGCATTAGCCAGAAAAGTTGACCGGTATAAAATTTTAAGCGTTTATAAAATCTATCAATCAAATAGGGCAACAATAAAGTATACCCTTATAAGGATTACGAAAAACGCTCTAATATATACATATTATATTAGTTGTTTAGATTTTCTCATTGGTGTTTAGGACTTTAATTGATCATTCTCTTTTGATATATATACATCCTGTGTGTATTGCCTCGATATTGTCGATATTGTCAACTATATTATTGACTTTATCTATTTACTGATCAACTCTAGAAATCGACTAGAAAGTTAACAATCAAGTAACCTACTTAAACATTGTTTGTACACTAATATAAGCATTTTTGAATAGATCGAACCTACTAATCAGCAATGAGATGATTTAATAATTTTCATTAATGGCAACTACAAGTTTATTCATATTTTATTCAACTGAAGACCAATAATTTTTATTTACTGACCTGAAGTTACTAGACAAAGATAATAAATCGGTTGATAAAATTGTGAATCTTTATCGCCTGAGGTGCTTGGGACGTTTTTCGCATCTCAGTTATTGCTCATTTAAATGGAGGCTTTTCGTTGGTGAAGGAATAGGTTAAAAGAAAGTTAGGTTCTGTCAATTAAATACATGATACCAGTTTTTAAAGTCATCGACTGTTAAAATTGTTAAGGAGACGCAGAAAATTCCTCGAAAAAAAAAGCCTAAAGAGCTCATGAAAACTCTGAGAAACATGTTACCTAATCATTATTCAATAAAAGTATCTCAAAAACATCTAGAAAGGGAAGAGTCACATATCACTTTTCTGATTGGATAATTGCCCATCTTGATACTATGTTTAGAAGGGTTCCAGAAATTTCCAGTAGCCTAAGGCCACCTGAGATGCTAGAAATACCCTCGATTTTCTGTTCACAAACTAGCATTAGGGTAAAGCGTTTTTTTCCATATTTCCCGCCTATTCTCTCGTATTCAAGTTGCTGTGCATATTTGGCTTGGAGGTTACTAGAAGAGCTTAGGAAACCGAATCAAGCGTTCGATTGGAAGATTTATCTGAAATAAGCACTGTTTTTAACCTCAGACTACTTGGATTTGATTCACTGGATTATCGTGATCGAATGTTAGAGACATAATGTGACATAATTCAAAATCGGTCACCATTGTTTAAATGTATTCACTCTTTATCTTAAAACACATCTACTTTATATTCCGCCAGTTCATTCTCGGTCATTCCCAAATGTGACATACTTCTACCACCAGGCTTACCCTGTCATTTATCTTAATAACTTCATCTCACTATGCTGATAAAGTATGCCATCCTCAAATAATGCCCACCTATTTCATGTTCTATAGTGCTAATGACTCACAGTCTACTGACTTGGACTGTAAGTGAGTTGGTTGGTGTCTGACAAAATGATTCAGAAAGCTCGTTTGGCTTTTACCAACTTACGTCATCTATGATGAAGGCGAAATATCTGCCTATCAATTAAGGGACGAGTATACTGCGCAGCACTTCGTTCTGTTCTACTTTATGGCTGAGAAACGTGGCCACTAAGAGAAGATACTCTTAAGCTACTAGTATTTGACCACAGATGTCTTAGAAAAATTGCTCATATCTGCTTGGATCACCGGGCAAGTAATAGTGAGGTTAGACACATGGTATTAGGGAATCATGGTAAATCAGTTGATGAGGTTGTAAATTTTCATCGACTAAGATGGTTGGACCACGTGTTACGTATGTCTGAACACCGATTAACACGACGCACAATGCTGGTTAGCGTTTCGGATGGTTGGAAAAAAGTTAGGGGCGGCCAAACCAAAACGTGGCATCAGTATTTGAAGTCACTAACTTCTAGTCTGAGCCATATTGGCAGATGCAGACTACTTGGTTGGGATCCGCGTGATTATCGTAACCAATTGTTGGAGACTCTGTGTGACATGGCTCAGAATAGATCACAATGGTGTCGGTGTATACACTCTCTGTCTTCTCTTGAACCATGAGATTAAAGTCGTTTCATATCTTTCATTCTACGTACTAAATCATTCTACCTGTACTATCTTCTTATATGCAATCATTCTTTTATATATTACTACCATAGAAGTGACTACTTCTATGAATCCGGTGTTCACCTTGTTGTGCTGATGCGGTATGGCAACCTGGACCGATGCATATAAGTACCTGGTCCTACGTTGTAACTGACTGACTGAGTCCACTATCTTGAAAGAAATAGGAATTCATTAATAACTTTCATTTAAATCTTCGTTAATGTCTTTTTCTTCCTTTTCCAAACTTATTTTAAGGACCCTCAATTCAAGAAACTGAATTATCCAATGGAATACATCCATCCAATAATAATAATAATTACTATTATAATTCTAAAAGAGGGACAATAATATCAAATTGTTCTTCGATTATGGAACAAAATAAAATACAACCAATTAAAAAGTCATTATTACCACAAACAAATACAATGACAAATAAATATAAATTGAATTTATATGATTCTTCAAGACGAGTAAGTGATATTGATTTATTGAATTATTCTTTTACTTCATCAAAGATAATCTTGATCATATAATCTTATGTTGTGTTTAAAATTATACATCATAGATTAAATTTACTTAAGTAGCTATCAGAACTTAATAGTTGAATGGATAATACGATGGTGTTTCAAGTGAACGGTACTGGATTCAAGTTCCGGAGTGAATATCAACTTTGAGATGCAGATACATTCAATTGATGAGTGCGAAATAGGATCAGATGTGCATTCTGAATTCCACTGCTAGCCGTTTTTGCTTAAAAAGTTTGTGAATTAAGACAATTTCGAGGTAGTCCTCATTGGATGCACATATACCAACAATTTTATTTACTTATTTAAACACATAAACATTGGTACAAGGAGGCACCAAACAGATATGAGCCGTATAAATCATTCTATTTATGTGAGAGCTGTGATACTGCCCGGGTGCACAGACCGAGGCGGGTGGTTTTCTCAGGAGGCTATACCCGGGACCTTTGACCTGAAGGTCTGATCCTCAAGGCAGTGGAGCAACGTCAGGAGATGCAGTCCCATAGTGGCCGGTGATCAACGATTGGTTCATACGCCATTCGTTCCCTCATAATACTGGAACCCATGTGCACCATTGGTTTGAAATGAGGGTTTTCCAACTCTCCTAGGTGGACCCTCCGTCTCCACCAACCCAGTTAAAGCGCCTGACATTTGCATTTCATCCTCTTAATTTTGTAAACAACACCCCTGCTGTAAGAATTCAGTGAGTAAGACTTCCCTGGCAGAGGCTATATACTCGTGGCCATATGAAAGCATTTGGAGAAGAAGAGCTGTCTCTCCCCACTCCCGGACGCACCAGGGCATTTGGGGGCATATATCAATAATAGACTGATCAATTTCAGTCCTAAACAACAATCGGAAGATACAAGTAAAATAATATCAAGCGAATTACTTAGAACTATTGAATATAAAGAAATATTTGAAAAACACTATGTTATTTTTGCATAGAACTTTGTTACTAATGAACATTCGTTCTCTCAAAGTAGTCTAAGGGTTATGTAAATTTAGTTTTATAAATTGTCATGTATTCAAAATATTTTTCAATTTTTTCCTTCAATTCTTTAAATTATCTAATAGATGTTCTCAAATTATTCGACGATCTTGTTGTTGTTTGACAACTCTTTTTTTTAACTTGAATGTTGTACTAGAAGTGTAGTTAGTATGCGGTACATTACATGGTCATTCATACCAGTAGTAAACTGGAGATCGAAAGTGACTATTAGTCAGTATATATGTTTAGTGTTTTTATAACCACAAAAGGTTGACAATCATCTTGGTATAAAACGCTGATGCTCTCATTGAAATTCTTCATCTAATTGAAATGAGATGTTTTCTATGATACATAAATATTCCTTATTATTTCATCAATTCTCTAAGTTAATCAACAAACTAAATAGCTGATTCCTTATATTTATTAGAAGATTTGTTTTAATGCTTTTAGATAGATAACACGATGAACCATACATTGATTGATCCCTGCGTAATGATCAACATCATATTTGTCTACTTGTTAGTATTGATCACATTCTATCGATCAGTACTGAAGACTGAATAAGCACAATAGTCATAACTTTTCAGTGATCAATAAATGTAAATATCTCATTCCAATAGAAGATCAGTCGCCGCCTGAATATCTCTGTGGTAATATCTAAGACTATCAAACTGATTGACATGAGTTTAAATCTTATAGAGGATTATTAGTTCGCCTTAGTAGCAGGTCTCAACTATCATGAAACATGGATCAGTACAGGACTTGCTGCCAGATACTTCCAATCATTTAATAGAGTGTGAATTTGTGTGGAGAAACAGTTTTGCACCATAGGAGTTCTATTATTTTATTCTTTTATAAATAATACAGATTTTTACGTGATAGTCAAATTACATATCAATGAATTTATCCTTTTCTTTCTTTCTTTTGTCTTTCTATTCTCATTTTGAAAACAAAATAAAACAACTCTTCCACAGTCATCTTTAAATCAAGACAATATCAATTCAGCTGGATCTCTTGAAAGTATGGTAAGAACATTTAATTATCATTAGTTTTGTTTACAAAATGATTTTTGGCGCAAAATTAGTCGTTAACAGATATAAACATGGCGAGACTATAATTTATAGGCGAACTAATCAGATTTACAATAGCAAGTCTTGGATTTTGGCGCAAAATTCACTTACTCATGTGGCCAAATAGTGTCTTGGCATTTTAGCTGATGTCAGCTCGTGGTGAAAAACCGTAATTCTAATTTTTAATTCTAACTATCAACTGTGAATCATAATCCTTATTCTTCAAACTTCTTTATAACCTTCATTTAGCCCTAGTAAGTAGGTAGAAACTCTTAAGGTTACTTTGACATCGTTCAAAGGTCGTCCATAAATTATAGTCTCACCACACTTAGTTCGAATTCCAATATCAACATCAATACTGAGATGTAGATTTTTCTAGCTGAACAGTACTAAATGAGGTCAAATACTCATCACAGTTTACACTGTTGGTTATAATTCATCTATTGTCTAAGTGTTTTGAATTGTTTATATGAATCTAAATGACTACTTCATATAATTTTTGGATGAACTAATCACTGAACAATACAATACCATACAATAATGTCTGAAGGTTAACTGTACACTCATTCATGAATATGAGTTTGTACAGTTTACTCCATTTAGTACTTAAATCTACCTTACATTCAAGCAAGTTATTGAGTTTTTTGTTGTCGTTGTTGAAAAACTAAACGTATCTTGAACTGGTGATTCGTTTTGTTTTCTTTTAATAACTCGTACAAAGTTTCAAATAAAACAAGCTTTTAATAAATTTGGCAAAGTTGTAAACTAGACACTTATTAATTTGATAAGTTAAAAAACTAACAGTATGAGGTTGAGGAGACTGTTAAATTTTTTTTATTAAGATCGATGCTGAACCACCATTGAAAACCTGAAGGCACTGGACGACCGTTTTGTCCTAGCATGAAACTCCTCAGCAGTGAGCATCCAAGATTCCGCACACGGGATTCGTTGGATGCCGGTATTAGATATTAGACGTTCGTGCGCGAAACTGAAGGTCCTAGGTTCAAGTTCTTTTGATGTGGGATTGTTGATGCGCACTGCTGAGGAGTCCTATACTGGGACGAAACTGCCGTCCAGTACCTTCAGGCTTTCAATGGTTGTCTAACATCGATCAATTCATGATCTCAATAAAAAAAACTTCGACAACTATATTAAATATGATTGTGTGAACCTTCCCATTGATGTTTAGGACTACAATCAATCAATCCAATTATGCTTTTATATACCATGTTTCATAGCCATAGAAAAATACAGAGGAAATCACAGTGAAGCACACGCGGAAAGCCTGTCTACTCCACAAGTGATATAATTCCAAAAAGTCAAACCGGTTGTCTTAATATGTGCCGAGATTTCGGCAGGCAATAAACCATCAGAGTTAATGGAGTTTCCATGATAAAAAAGCTGTCAACTCACAAATTCTTAACTACTTATGACCAATTTAGGGGATGACTTAAACCATTCCTGAGCCGATATTTAGCATTAATGGGGCCAGCGATAACTCGTTATGGTTTCCACATTTTTCAAATGCGCCCCAACCAAAGTGTATCAGTTAGTTTGAACAGATTTTTGTATCCGCTTGAGAATTTCGATTTATTAATGAAGACCAGTGACAGTTATGTTCATGCAAGATATTGGATGTAATACTTTTCGTTCCATGTTAAATTTCGCTTGACAGGTTGATGTAAAGTATGACAACGTAGTTTGAAACATTTACATTAGATCTACCATTATTTCCTCCATAAATTACCAACACAATGTAAAACCCAATGTTGCACTAATAATCGGCACCATTTCAAATATTGTCGACTAATATTTACAGACGTATCATAGATCTTGATTCATAATAACAAACAATTATTCTAACAATTTAATAGCTGAATTCATGAGTCAATTGAAGCTAGGCCACTATGGAAAACCTGGAAGCACTGGACAGCTGTCTCGTCCCATTTTGAGACTTCTCAGCAGTGCGCATCCACCATCCCGCCAGCGAGATTCGAACCCAGGACCTATCAATCTCGCGTGCAAACGCTTAACATGTAAACTACTGAGCAGGTATCCAACAGTGTTAATATCTAGCTTCAACTGATGCACGAAGTTGTCATCAGTGAGTTACTCTCATAACAGACCCGGATGAACTCCACTGGTGACGGTTTCGCACTGGAACTCCAGGAAATACCTCATAGAGACCGTCACTAGTGAGCATATGATGATTATAATCAGAGAAGGGTTTTTGTGAATATTATAGTAATTTAATATTTAAATTCATGAGTCAATTGAAACTAGAACACCATGGAAAACCTGGAAGCACTGGACGGCCGTTTCGTCCTAATATGAGACTCCTCAGCAATGTGCACCCACGATCCTGCCTCGCTTCCAAGTTTTCCATGGTGGTCTAGTTTCACTTGACTCATGAATTCAACTATTAAATTACTAATGATATCCACAAAAACCCTTATTTGATTATAATTATTCTAACTTCTATGATTTGTGTTAGTTATCAAAATTATCACTCTTATTAACACTTTAATCATAGTTCACTACTCAAGATCAAAATACACCTGATGAATATTTCATTGCTACACCAAGATCATCATCACGTAAAGATTTTGGCAAAAATAGTGATATTGAAAATGCTGATGAAATTATTATACCAAGAAAGAAAGAAGATAAAATCAATTCATTAAGAAATGTTCTACTACGACAAAGGTAGGTTATTAGTTTCTTTCAGTATAAATGACATTGTTCTCTAACGGAACATCTTCGTCAGAGATATGTCTTCTGTATTCAAAATTTATCGATAAATATAAATGGAAATTTTAATGTATAACAATTGGAATTCTGGTCAGTTAATTATTCAGTTATGAACGGTGTAAAATCTGATATGTATGGGCATCAGTTTAAGTTGCCACAGTACATCAACACTGTTAAATGAAATTATTATCAGGGTAAATGCCATGGTAATTAAAGTAGTGATAATAATAGTGGTAGAAGAAAAGATAAGACATAGGCCACGTGATTCAAGAAAAATGAATGACATTGGGAATAAAAAGCACATGATATTCTTAAAATCCATGATCTAGGGGAAGACAAAGGATGAGTGCATCTATATTATTTCAATTCATTTTGAACGACATCCAATATCTTCAGCCATTGGTTACTATTATTCTGCGGATATTAACCAGTTTGTCTGCGTCTACGAACATAGATTATACTTGTAACATGCTATGTATAAATAATTGGGATAAAAGTTTGTAGAAATTGTTTATTTTGATAAACTGATATGTTTACCCTGTAATAACATCAACCAAAGGACCACTAAAAGTCAGTGCTCACTCTATAGCTATCTATTCAGCTATACAGCTCTACCGTTGTATGATCATCATCTTAATCTGATGTCAACCCTTGAGGAGATGTAAATTTAATTTGAGCTATCTCCACAAACTATCATCTTTATAGTAATCGTATGCATACCACTGACTACGTTCGATGACCTACCTCAAAATTATTGTTAAGAAACTGTGACTTGTAGAGTTCAGCCATTTAGAGAGATAAGATGGATATCACCGACCTTATGCGATGATGGTTTTATTATATAACACCCTCCATTTGATCCACTGGTCCAAGGGTAGTGACACTGATTGGTCACTGAGTAGTTATCAGTGTTATATTTGTCTAATTGACCGATTTTTATCGGCCACGTTTCATATCCGTATCATCCGATCTTACAGTCGGAAAAATTGACCAAATATAACGCTAATTGGTCCGAAATAAATGCAAATGTCTCATTCTCACAGGAATAACTTAGTTCTGTCGTCCCAGATCTCGAGGTTGGGTGGCCCCAACTCAAATTCATCAGAGAGCATCACTTCCGACCAACTACGCAACCTATATGTCCTGACGTTGTGCGCTCACTCTTGGTGATCCCTATTCTAGAAAGATACAGCTGTTCATTGCTCTCTGATTTTCAACCCTTATCTAACCAAAGTCATTTCATGACGTAAAATCAAAAAAATCCAATGATATGCGATGGCAAACTATCATTTCATTTCAGTATATTTATTCTGCATATATCTCTTCTCTTCACCTCTCTTCTCAGTTTAACAGATTCATCAGTTTACAATCAAACTGATGATCGTTTATATAATGGGAATCAATTACAAGAAACAAATACTGTTATAGCTGAACGAGTTCGATTAATGACAATTAAACAACAATTAGCTAAAGAAGCAGCTAGTACAAGTGCACGTAAGTGTACAATGATGTTATTGTTACTTTCTTCCATCAATGTTTTATTAGGATCAAACAGCCATTCAGTAATACCTCCAGGTTTGGATAAATAGTTTTGTCATTATAGCTGATGTCAGATTATGATAAAAAAAACCCTAAATCTAATTCCTAACCTTAATCATCAACTGTAAATCATAATTTTAATTCCTCACACAGGTTTATAACCCTCATTTGGTTCTGGTTATTAGGTGGACACTGTCAAGGTCAGTCTGGCGTTGCCCAAACGTCGCTACTAAGTAGTATATGTTATATATCATGGCTATTTGATAATCACTATTTGAAAATTCATCCTGATTAATTAAATTTAGTTTCAGTTTAATCTCTTACATCATGTACAAGTCGAACGATTTATGAGACATTAGTTTTTAATGGAAAACATCCAGTTTTATTGTTTTTAAATAGTTTTAATGTTACCGATATTTGACATGGTTTATTTGTCGGAATGAAGGTTTGTGGAAATTGTAATAATTTAATGGTTGAATTCAGGAGTCAATTGAAGCTAGACCACCATGTCAAATCTGGAAGCACTGGATGGCCGTTTCGTCCTAGTATGAAACTCCTCAGCACTGCGCATCGACGATCCCTCACTGAATAGGCTCGAACTCAGGACCTTCGGTTTCTCACGCGAACGCTTAACCTCTAGACCATTGAGCCGGCATCCGAGGAATCTCACATGTGAGATCATGGAAGCGCACTGCTTAGGGGTCCCATACCAAGATGAAACGTCCGTCCAGTGCTTCCAGATTTTCCATGGTTCACTTGGTTTATTACAATTCACGATGAAAATCACGAACATGAGTTGTAAAGATAACCTACTGGAAGACAATTTTAAACTTATTTACGTAGTTTGTAAGTTCTAGATCAATCTTAATGCTACCGACTGTAAAGCTCTTGTTAATGAAAGATTGAGTAAGATCATTTAACACTTACTTTTTGTTAGTTTGTGCTACATCATCAGGAAGTCACTTACTAATTAGTTAGCGTGTGAATTCGAATTATCAGTTTTCCCCATGCTGATCATCTTTCATGTTTTCTGTAATACAAGACTTTATACACTAATTTGTTTGTGGGTCCTTTAATATATCAAGTTTTTACGCTTTTCCGAAGATCATTGTCAAGGTATTTCTACGCATATGATATTTGCTCGAATTAATTTCTTCGTTCCCTATCAATACTCCTTTCTTTCAAGAATATTCTTTAATGTATTTGGGTCTAAAATGAAACTATTGTAGTTGTATCCGAGTATTAGAGTGTAGTTAGGAGTTATTCCTTTTCTCAAATCCTTTGTCAGTTTGAGACATCTTAGCGCTGCGAGCCGGCTTTCCCTTTCCTATCCAATGTCAACCTGTAAAGGAGAGTAACTACGAAACTTTTAATAAACATCCACATGCTATTGATCTATACAATAATCATGTATCCTCACTAATAAATAGTTTCGTGATAGATTCCTATGAGTTCTATTAAGAAACGATAATTTATTGAAATTTTCTCTGACAACATTTGGTGATCATTTCTTTATATCACTAATGGAAAATATGAACCATTATAAGTAAGATGAAACATCCATCCAATGTTTCCTTGTTACTTACTTACTCACTTAATTGCGCTTGTTACTCCCAATGGAGCATAGGCCACCGACTAGCATTCTCCAACCCAACATTAACCAGAAAAAAAAATTATTCAAACCACTTATCACTTGGTCTTAGATGATATTATTTCATATGTAAAGCTTGTCCTTCAGATTATTTATTCAATGATCTAATCAATCAACTTGTACTGGTAACATAAATCATTATACTTCAAATACTTAACTGTTAACTAGATGCTTTTAACCTTTCAAAACTTTATTTTCCTTGTTTTTCGTATTTTCCTTTCTCATGATCAATATGATTTATCAAATCTTACCTATAAATCTTATATTGATCACTTTATACATTTGATGTATCAATTTTCATCTTCATAGTTTAAATGAGATTATTACTACAATGGAAATGTTCTTTCTTATATTTTAGGTCTTAATGCACGTGAACATCAATCTACTTATAATAATGTATCTGGGTAAAAGAATATTTTAAAATAACATTCAAATACAATAGAACTTTCAAAACCCAATAACATATCATAGTCTTCTTTTTGTTTTTTTTTGTGTGTGTTTTTTTTGTTCTTTTTTTTATTGAAAGAAAGTTGTTTTGTATCGAATTTCTTTGTTCTGTTGATTTTTCTTTAGTTTCTATGCCGAAAAAAAAACAAAAAAAAAAACAGTTATCAGGTTACATTATAATACTATCAAAACAAACATCGTCTTCTTTTTTCTACCTCATATTCATTTGGTTTTAATCTTTTTATTAGTCTCAATTATTTATTTATTTTGACTCTATTATCAACGCATTTCAATTTGATAATTAATAAATTGTTAATATATAATATGAGAATATTTTTTGTCGATTATTTAGTATTACTTGAAAGTAGTATAATCTAAATAAAGTAATATATTTATCTGAAAAGGGGGTTTTGTGGAGATTTTAGTAATTTCAATAGTTGAGATCATGATTCAATTGAAGTGAGACCACCATGGAATACCTGGAAGCAATGGGAGGCTGTTTCATCCTACTGTTGGACTTCTCATCAATGCGCATCCACGATCTCGCCTCGTGAGGTTCGAACCCACGAACTATCAGTCTCGCGCACAAGCGCTTAACTACTGAGTCAGCATCTCATGGTGTTAATGTCCAACTTCAAACAATCCACGGAATTGCGCAACATATCCACCATTGTCTTCAGTGAGTTACTACCTCACAACAGACCCGATTGAACTCCACTGGTTATTGCTTCTTACTAGAACTCCGGTAAATACCTCATGAATCTAGTCATTAGTGAACATATGTTGATTAGTATCAGAAATAGTTTTTAGTAGTAAAGTCCATGAGTCAGTTAGAGCTAGACCGCTATGAGGAGTCTTATAATACGATGAAACGGCTTTCCAGTGCTTCTACGTTTTCTGTAGTGGTCTAGCTTTAATTGATTCATGAACTTAACTATTGAAGTAATATATGTTCATTGTATACATTAAGAATGATAGTTTTTTGCATCGAAGCGATTGGGCCTTCTAATTTTGCCATTCTTTTTTTCTTAATAGGAATAACAGTTAAGTAAAATTGTTTTTGATGAAAAAATGATGATATTGTAATTATCATGGGATAATATTATAGACACTTAATTTTTAACTCAGCTGATGACCAATGATTACAATAAATTGTACTTCATGTTTCGAACATACTCTATCGCATATGATTCTATTTAACTCGGGTTTTCAAACATTTGCGCCCATATATTTCAGCACTGTGGTGCGTGTTACTTAGAGGGACTGCTGGCTTAATGTTTATCAGTAGTTTGGAGACATGTACAGTATATTTAATGTCGCATTTTGAGAAGTATCAAAACGTTGCATTCCATAGCCATTTCCATATAGACTGTCGTTTGACAACGCTTTCAGTTGTAACACCTCTTGTAACCAAAGGACACTAACCTAGTTTAGTCAGAAACCAATAAAATTGGATATATCTTTGGAAAAGTGATCAATATGTTAAGGAGCGTCAGATCTAAGCCGGCTAATAGTTGCATGGGAGGAGTAACACCGCATGCCTACCCTGGTCTGGTGAGGATTTGTACCCGAGCACCAGATGTCAGGATGTTGAGTCCGAAATAATGAATATACTAGAACGTCATAGTAGCAAATCAATCAGTACAACATTTAAGAACGCCAAGAGTAAATGAGACAGTTTTGTATAAAATCTGTAATGTGATGGTGGCTCTAAAGTGAAGCTCGTGTATCATATGGACGATGATAAATGCAGATTTGAATGGGTAACTTAATATGTCAACTGGAACAAGGTTTCGTGTTCAATGATAGTAAGTGTTTGATTTAATTAAAATTGTTAAGGGAAATAAAAAAACTGTGTACATATTAATTCGAAACCAGCCATCTCTGCGCTGTAACTCTTTTAATACTATTAAGCTGAATTAAATTCAGTGACTAAAACACTTGATTATTAGTCATCTTTTAACTTTTAGTGCCAGCATAAGAACAGTATTTAAAATCTCACAAGTCTGTCATGAGTAAGGGCTATGCGATCTTTAAGAACAGTGATTTACAAGTTTATTCTGATTCAGCATTCTTTTGTGTGTTTATAACGTTAAAAGTATGTGTAGGTAACCCTCACCCAGATTCATCTTCCAATTCGTTCTTGTAGTTCACCGTAATTTTGATTTTTTTTCCTTCCGCAAGGAACTTGTGTACTTTTGTCATTTTTCTGGACTTTAAAGTCTGAGTGTAATTTCTTGTAAATTGAGAACCACCTATTGGTGAAATTGATTGTAAAGCCTTCATATTCGAGGAAAAATAGAACTGTCACCGATTAGAGAGTGGTGCTACCAACGAGCAAACACTGGTGGCGGCCGAAACATTACGACATCAAATTTTTCATCGACTCTATTTGATTTAAATTATTGAATCTCTTATTTATTTATTTATTTATTTGAACACATAAATATTGGTACAAGGGGGGCACCAAATATATATGCGCCACACAAAACAATGATAATTTGAAGAGAAGGAGAAAAGAAAAAAGAAAAAAAGGTAATGAACGTGGGGAATTATAAAAAAAAGGAAGAGAGAGAGAACAATGGTGGGGGAAACGGAAAGGTACAATCAGAAGAGATCTTTCAGTTAAGGAAGATACAACCACTTCTTATGAAGAAAGTAAAAGAAGGTTACAGCAGGATCGCCATTGGCTTCTATTCTGAGCCATATCTAATAACGTCTCTAGCCACTGCGTTACACCTTCTCTCGGACCCCAACCAGGGAGCCGTGAAGGACCAACAGAAGCTAGCCCTTTGCAGCTTTCTTTCATACCACGACACCATGTCATATACTGACCACCTCTCCGCTTTTTCTAACCAGTCCCAGAGTCAGCAAATAATGCACGACGTGGAATTCTCTGGGACGACATTCGTAGAACATGTCCAAGCCACCGAAGTCGGTGTTTCAAGATGGTGACACCAATTTCATTATCGTCTTTGTGACCGAACACTCGATGCCGAACCTCTGCATTACTGACATGGTGTTGCCATTGGATGCCAGCAATCCTTCGGAGACAACGATGATCGAACACAGAGAGTCGTCTAACATCCTCAACTCGGAGAGGCCAGGTTTCACAAGCATAGAGCAAAACTGCTCTCACCGTCGCGTTGTAGATCCGACCTTTTACAGCCAGACTAACATCACGAGATGCAGGAGTCGTTAATGTTTTATTCTAAATAAACAAAAAGCACGTTTTAAAGCAAAGAAGAATATATACGATTGTCACTTACCAGCATGTTCATGAATATTAGGTCAACTGTTACGACTTGTACAAAGCATAGTATGTACTTAATACTGCAGTGTACAGCATTTGGTCTTTTGCTTCCATCTATGTATTCCAGCACACTTGCACTCCGTTTGACGGAAAGATATCCATGGAGAGTTAGTGTTTGATAAACTAAAATTTCTAGTAGTTAAATATTTCAATGTTTGTCAACAGTCAACTAAACTTAATTAGGACGCAGAACACTTCTCCTAGAAGTACACACTGCTGCTTTTCAGGAAGATAACAATACAGACACTTGTTCATCTAACTGTTGACGTCAACTCTGGGGAAATTGTTTAGTAGCAGGGATCTCGAAATATGGTCAGAGCCAAATGTACAATATACAAACGCACGCCCAACATCCTTACCACGTTTCTTTTTAAATGGACACTATTTTATAATGCATGACAACAGAAGCATCTAAGGTAGTTTTCTCCATTTATGAACACACGGATTTGCATCAATATGCTCACCAAAAGCAGTCTGATATGGGAGTTTCCATAGTTTCTCTGTCGTTTTTAGTAAAGATTAAGTTATTACAATAGGTCTATATCACTTCTGTTCTGTTTAATTTATTAACGAAATGAATCAATGATGTGTTTGAAAGAGGAGGAATATGATAACGGTGATAAATCATTATCATATCCCTCTGATTCCTCATGTACTGCACAATTTCTAAGCTCTCAATTTCAGTTTTTGCGGGCTAGTTACACTGTATTGTATACATAATCTCACACACCGTTTTATACTTTCAACGATCATGCACACCAACGGAAATGAAACGTTTGGCAATCTGGGAAATTGAACTGATGTTCTGCATTGCTTCATCAATTAAAGCAAATGCACTAAACCGAAAAGGTGTCATAATTATTTTTTCACTTGAACAGATATGTGATGCGAAATAGTTGACTATAGATAATTAAGCCCACAAGCCTCGAAACTAAACTATAGGTCAATATGACCTATATAACAGAGGGAAAACGATAGTTTCGAGACTGAAGACAAGAGTCACTTATGTATCAAAACATAGGTTACAGCACAACAAACCTTTTTTCAGTAACAGTATTCATTGACGGTTTTTTTCCTAAACAATCACGACTTTTACTAAGATTCCAATGACTCATGATATCATTCCATCAGCTGATGCATGTCCGACGAAATGCAGTCTGACTTGGTGAATAAAAATTACAGTCATAGCGAAATTTACAACACAGTCTAGCTTTTTAATAACGATTATATCATAATATGACAAATTCATCGCCTACGTGAGCGAAAACACAGACGTTATTCTGACCTGCAATACAACGTTGAGTATATTTCCACCCATCCAAAGCCATAACAGGAGAGTATAAAAAGCTAAAAATGAACAAGATATCTAAATTATGTAGGTTTACTCACTGAGTCACCAAATCATAAGGCCTACTACTGGGTGGCGCGGCGTCAACTGACACATTCAATAGAAAATTCGATACACAGAAGATTACTGGAAAAAATATTAGAGGATATAAGCTTTCATCGACATAGCACACAGTTTAATTAAGAGTTAGCTCAAACTCCGACGACGAGTTAAAACACAAGTTTAATTTTGACGCTAAACACAGAAAACAAATGGTAAAATCATTAAAATTCCTCAGAAACAGAGGTGAGTGTAAATGTACTAGTTTGCCGATGTGATTTTAACATAATCAGAATAATCAAAACCGAAGTCCTTTAACTGTACTGCGGTGACAAGTGGTGGGCGCAAAAAAGGCAAACTATTCATAGAATTCTTTCGCAACTATTGAAAATATATTTTAGATATTGTACTTTAGGGTTTTCACCATCTTCAAATTAGTGCGTTACACCGCCTCATTCGAGTTTTCGTCCGTCAAAGATGATTGTTAAGGAATAGTGAGTTTTTTCTTTGGTTGTTTCCAGAGTTGTATGACATTTTTGATAATCGTACATTATTAACTCTTACAATAGTCGTGTAATTTTACCTATGACAGTTGAAGAATATCAAGTTGGTCAACTGTATTCCGTTGCTGAAGCTTCCAAAGGAGAGACAGGTGGTGGTGATGGCGTGCAAATATTGGTCAACGAGCCGTTCGATCAAACAACGTATAAACCTGATCGCCCTTTATTAAAAGGAGACCCA